GTACAGGAGGTAGGAGCAGCAGTGGGTGGTGGCGCACCGAATACATGAGAGAATGCTTCTGTAGTCTTCACAACTTACAACTTCCTCATCCACCAGCCCCAGAGCAACAGGGGAGCTGCGTATGTCCTGATCTGGCTGGGTTGGTTTAAGAGAGGCCAAGTGATGTTAATCACAGGGTGAGTACTTAGCCTCTGTTGGGGGAAAAGAAATCACAATATCTAAGAAAATGATGAGAGGAGGGGTTGAATTATTTATCAGGGAGCTGCTGTTTGCTTGGGGCAATGCTGGATACGTTAAAGACTGTTTAATCTTCACAGCCAAGAACCTCCTAACTGGTTTCCCTGCTTGTCCCCTTCCCCCTCCCATTCTCTATGCACAGCCGCCAGAGTGATCTTCTGAAACGACATTGACGATGGGTCACTCCCTTGCTTAAACTGTCAAGTTCTACGGAAACTCATTTCATACCACACCTTCCTTTCCCCACTGTCCTCAAGCCACACGGCCTGCTTTCAGCTGCTTTTCCATTCCTCAACACACCAACACTGTTCCGCCCTTCAGAGTTCATACTTGCAGCTCCCTTGTCCCAGAGGATTCAGTGCCCTGTCTTCACGTAGTTAGCTCCACCTTATTACTCAGACCTCACCTTATTACTCAGACCTCAAATTAGCACCATTGGGAGGGCCTCTTTGACTACCCTACCTACAAAAATACCTCTCAGCCACTTTGTCTCACCATGGTGTTATTTTGCAGTACATTTTACCATCTGAAATTATTTTGTCTGATGCCTCCCACTAGTATGTAAATTCCAAAAGACCTTGTCTGTCCTAGGCCCTTGGTGCCTAGAATAGTGCCTGGTGCACAGTAAATGCTCAGCTTGTTGATGAACTCTGCTGCAGATGAGGAAATGGGCCCAAAATGCCTTGGTTAAGCATCTTGATCAAGGCCACACAGCTGGAAAGTGCTCAAAACCCATGCTTTGCGATGGCAGAAGACCGATGAGCGTCTTTGGGTCTTTGGAGTCCAGTTACTATGTTGTATGGTTGGCCAAGTCCTGCTGGGTTTCAAGATACAAAGAGCTGGGTTCTCCAGGAAGTGCTCAGCTTCTGTAACTTTCTGCTCGTCAAGCCTTGTAGAAACTTAGAAACTAATGTAGATTTATTAAAGATGATCAAAGTCAGAAATTCATCTTTAGAAATCATGTTCCAGCCAAAATATCCAGAGCTCTGGTCTTGAGGTTTGAAACTGGACTCATTCATACAGGAGATTGTGGAAGTGATTACATCTAATGTTTTATAACCTCATCCTTGTCTTTTTTCTTGCATTGGGCAGTATTTTGGTCAAAGGTAAAGATCTGTACAAATTATCCAGTGAGAAATATCACTTTAGCCAAAATCAGATATTTTATCATATTTACTTTGCTGTCTGCAACACATTCTGCAAGGAAAGAACTAAAAACTTCAGAGCAAGTGGGGAAGAAACAAAAAGCACGAGTCAATCAGAGGCAGTAAGGAGAACAGGACAAGTCCTCTATTTCTGCCAAGAGCACATTATAGCCTCCTCCATTTTCATCAAAAGTGTGTGTTTCAACAGAGGTAAACCATCTTCCACACAGACACAAGAAGCTTTTGCAAGGTCCTCAAGGGCCTTTGGACCCCCCCAGTGATTGGTGCACGTAAGGACACACGACAGACTGACAAAAGGTCAAAGTCAAGGATAAAGAGGTGTAGGCATGAGTGTACTCAGGCACTAAAAATAACTTGAAGGCTTTTTTCCTATAACCCAAGTTATATAAGGACAGAGGAGGTACAAAGAAAGCTATGAGGAGGTGGTGATCTGTGTAGCTAAGTACTTTGAATTCCACTGTGATAGGCTATGGCACTTGAAGAGAATCATTTAAACTCTTCACTGGATAGGATAATTATCAGTATATGTACCATTATTAATCATGAAGAATATAAGATAAGCTGTTCTAGAATACTAAACAAATCTAGATAGTTGAACTCTGCACCTTATCACAAACAGTATTATAAGCTCTGAAATACACAGTAGGCAGAATAATTCTTTCTCAGCACCAAACCTCTCTCATTCTTCATACATTTAGTCATAGTTTTATTATGTAATAGGCAAAGAATATACTAGGTTTAACTACAAAATACATGCAAATAAAGAATATTCTGAGGGGGTTTGACAATTTCCATGTGAGTCAGGAAAACAGATAAACAGATCATTCCTTGCTTAAAGACTTAACACCTGCTATTTAAGTAAACTAAAGCATGCTTTTAGGGCAATCAATCCAGAATTAAACCAGTATTTTTAGAGGTTGATGCCTCTTAAGTACTTGATGAGTGATATTTCTGCCGGGTGGCACCTACACATATATAGTATTTGGCACAGAGTTGGACATGCTACAGATTTTTCTGGGGAGGACATATTTTTAAAATAAGATGGGATATATCAGAAGTTGTAGATAAGCACCCTATAAAATAGCACCCAACGGTACACATAGTATGTGATTTGAGAGTTGAAATTCACATTAGCCAAATGTGATGGGAGAATATAAAGATTAAAAATCGACTTAGAACACCATTTGAGTTTTGATACCTCACAACACTCTGTGAGGGAGGCCTATATATTAGAACCAAAGTTTACTTTTCCAGAAGTAAATGGACAGTTTGGCAGATGCTTTAATAAAATGTTAGCATGGCCAAAAACCATCCAATACACATTTTCCTGAATGCTCTTAACCAACTGCTCACACCTAATAGCTATTGCAATGCAATAAAACAAAATACACTGTAACATAGAAAAATCATCTAATAGCACTTCATGTAATAGGGCTATTTAGCTGCAAAGGTAGCCAATGTATAGTGAGGTGCTTATTCTTTTCAATTTCAATGTTTCAGCTTTATGGAAGACCAAATAGTGTTTTGAATCAGTTTTGCTCTTCCAGATTCATGTTTGTGCAGTTGCAAGAACTCCAAATTTACAAACGTCCCGAGGCCATTACTACAAGCCATTATTTCTGAGCAGAATTTAAAATGTAATTTCCTTTTCAAATTCCATAGTTTCAGCTCTCCAGTCTTTTTTAGGTACATTACCCTAAATGTATTATCCCTGCATAATCTGAAAATACCAACTGTAACACGCAAATATACACAAAACACAAGAGTTCAAGTCCACTCACATCACTAACCCTCTCCTTCATCTTCTCTCAGGATACTGTTCTCTATCCACTCACCTTGTGAAAATTTCCACATGGCTGCTCACTTCAGGTAATTTGTGATTTCTTATAGATTTTTTTCTCTGAACTAGGGCAAAAAATCCAGTACTTCATCACATTTTATACTATCTTCCATGCTCCTTCCCCCATATACCATATTTAAAATTGTTCACACTTAGATTTTCCTAAATTATGGGCTTCCTTTCAGAAACTTTGATCACAGAGCTCTACAATAAGTGACAACTAAGAAGTATTTTTTATTTATTTTTTTAAGAAGTATTTTTTAAAACTTAGTTAATAAATTTTTTTCTTAAAGGGGATTAACAATTAAATGTCATATCGTACAACTGGGACAGCAGTATATGTACTGATATTCAATATGCAATAAACCAACATATCCCCAATGTAAGTTTATATATTCTATTACAGTGCTATGGAATTGTAGAGTTACCGTTTTATTTTAGTTACAAGATGTTTCCATCATTAGCTTTCAGAAATACTGTTAATTTTAAATACCACTGTGTGACAACCATGTGTCATGACTTACATGTGATTTCACTCTTAGGATAAACACCCAAGGTTATTCCCCATTTTATATGTGAGAAAATTAGATTCTGAAACATGACACAACTAGTGGCAGGGAAGAGCTGGTATTCCAGTCCAAAGAGGACTCCACAGCCCCAAGCTCTTCCTCCTTTTCCTCCACTCTAGTCATGCCGTATCTCGTTTAAAAATCAAAACGCAAGTTCCTTGAACAGTTTGAAGCTCTGTGTTTTCTTGATAAAATAACTTAAATGAGAATAGGTTTTTTCTTCTTTGTGGCAAATGAGTATCTAATCCAAACACTGTGTTTATTAAATGCCAAAGTTTTATTTTCAGCAGGCAATAAATAAAACTAAAAAAAAAAAAAAAGAAAGAAAAAAAAAGCATGAGTATGGTCATTAATACAATTTCAAAGTCACACAGCTTGCTTTGAAAGTATACTTTGTACCCCATGCTATGAAATGTAAATATGAAATTATACTAACCATTAAAAAGAACAGCACAAAAAGTGATAAAAATGGTAAAGAATGTGGTGTGGAGTGGTTGGCATATATACTTGGTATTACTTTGTTTTCTTTTGAAGTTTTTACTCAAAATAGAAAATGCTAATGTGCCATTTGGGAAAATCCTTTTCAAATTCTGTAAGGAAATAGGAGAAACTTTAAAGAAAAAGTAAGTTTTAAAAAAAGAACTAATGCACATGCTACCACATGGATGAATCTTGAGGACATTATTATGCTAAGTGAATTATGCCAGTCACAAAAAGACAAATACTGTATGATTCCACGTATTTATCTGGAGTAGTCACTCCCAGAAATAAAAAGTAAAATAGTTGCAGGGTGGAAGGGAGATGAAGAGTTGCTTATTGTTATAATTTCAATTTTGTAAAATGAAAAATTCTGGAGACTGGTTGCACAATGTGAACACACACTTAACACTACTGGATTATACACCCCCAAATGGTTAAGATGGTAAATTCTGTATGACAATTCTACCACAATTAAAAACTTTAAAACTTTAAAAGAAACAAAAGGATTACTTTTAAGGTAATGATATTGTGGTTATGTTCAATTTTAAAAAGAAAACATTCGGAGATACATATATGCAGGTTGATAGATATTTGGAATGTTCATTCTATGTTTTTTATGAAATCTTCCCCAACGAAATAAGGTGGAACAAAATAACTCTTCAAAAAAGGGGAAACCAATAATAAAATTTCCTGATCAAGAGAATCATCTATCATGAAAATATTTTATTAGAGTTTAAACATAGAAAATGTAACATTTTAGCTACAACTGATAAATGTGACACATCACTTATTCCACTTGAGAGAAAGCTGCTGATAACCAGACATGGTTTACTGGACTTGTATTAGAAAAACTACATGAAGAAAAATTACATGAACAGGCTAAAGTTTGCTATGAAAACAACATATTTTTATTAAAGTAATTAAAAGTCAAAAAACAACAACAAAAGGGAAATTCCACAACCTTTGCAACTATATAATCTTTATGTAGAAAAACTATAAAGTGACAGTCTGGAAAGCAGCTCCACAATAAACTTAATCCTTACATCAAGAGTAACTAAATTATGGAATCAGTTCACCCAAAAGAAATTGTCTTGCTGCAAAAGATTTCAGCTGAGCTGAGTTCAACTATATTATTCTCATTCCTGAAAAACTGTCTTTCCTGATATTTCAAATCACCAGAGATATAACGTACAGGAGCCTGCTGAAGTAAAAAGGATAAAACAAATACTCCAAGCACAATTACATGAAAATGATTGAGGGCATTTTATCTATAGATCTACAAAACTATATAAATAACCAATTATACACATAATCCATTTACACTGAAGCTCCATGAGGTGGTACTGAATAAACACTGAGGCATTGAATTTTCAACAATGGAACATGGCTCACTCTGAACAGCAGCACATTCCCACCTTTCAGTCTATCATCACAACACTTCCCCTGGGATCTGCATTTGTGGATATCTAAGTCCTGGGAAGTTGATGACAAAAATGGAGGAAAGAAAGCCAAAAGGGTAACAAATTAAATACCCCTACAATCTGCCTAAAACCTGCATGTGAAATACAAAGAAACCAAGCACTTTGTGAGTTTTTACAGTCACATGTTCTTTTATACTAGTGTCTTCAATACTATCTGAACTGTATTTTCTGTAACTAGCTTTTCCATTAAAGTATAAAAGGAAACAGAAAAAAGCTATTTCATAAATGCACAGTCTTAGAAAAGCGGTACTATTTATTTTTAAAAACAACATTCTCTGTTGAGGAAATCACACTGTTGTGGTCATTAGAATAGCTTACATCACTTTGGCAATACAGGGATTTATTTTTTCTCAGTTTTAATAATCATAATGATAGGCTATTATCATGGCCATATAACGTCAGAATTTATGTGATCACAAAGGCAAATGTGTGAGAAAATGTCTAATAAATTTAAATCATGATTAGAACTACTTAAAAATATTTTCAAGAATATTAAAATTGGGGGAAAATACAGAAGTCATAAGCAAGTATTTCTTCTAAGATTCTTTAATTGGGATAAAAGTCTCAGGGTTAGCTCACAGGAATGGTCTGCAATAAAGAAAAATTAGGTCAGTGTATAGTAATTTCTGCAAACTTTAGCAGAAAAGCCAACAACAATCTGAGCATCATAAAAGCATTCTTTTGGGTCAGGACTTTTTGTTGTTTGAGTTCTTTAATCTCTAACTTCTCAACATGTTACAGTTTAGAAATGTCCATATGCTTACTAATGGTAATAATGAAATACAATGTCAAAGAAAAGATAAACAAACATGATCCTTTTCAATCATAGGTCTCTCTTTGGTAAGAAACAGACCACCATTTATTTACTTTCTCTCAGTGTAGGAGAAGGAGACTAAATGGTATTAACCTGGTAAGAAATCCCTGTTTCTTATGTTAGGATAGAGGGTAGAGTTTAAGCCACGCCCTTTGTAAGAAGAGTAGGTTAACAGAGGATTTCTTCTTACTTGGTAGAGCATAATAACCATCTATTACAGAGCTGGAGCATGGTATTTCCCCTAACTAGGAAGTTACCCTACAAAAATCTTAGTCAACTTGTAGAAATTCTGCTATCTAATGAAGTGTTCTTTAGATGTAAAACAAATGAATAATATGCTATTTTTAAAAAATGGTAAAGTATCTCCCACCTTAGAATTCACCAATTTCTCATCCTGTTAAACTTTCATAGAATCCATGAAGAATTAAACAGACCTACTCTACATATTTTCTCACTAAGACTGGAAATAACCTATGCAACAATACCATTTGCAATTCCAGAAAAAAATCCAATATAATCTAATACACACATTAGCAAACTTTAGAGACTACATACTCTATCAAGCCTAAGCAATCCCCACCCACCTCCCCAAAAGGAAGCCAGTCTTTTCCTCTGTAAGATATTTGTTGTATCTGGATCCAAATTAAAAGAACTGCTAAATTCCATTACAGTAGCAAAAATACTACAAATAAGCACTCAAAACTGACCTAACAATTTCTACTCTCACCCCTCCTTCTCCAGGATATATATTTTTTTAATTTAAAAGGAGAGAAATAAGCATTCCTTGTAACTTGACTGGAAAAAAAACATTACCTGATCAATTATTTCTAAGCTATACTAGATACCAACTAATGATGGAATGCCCAAATCACTAGCAACTCAACATTATTTTTGCACAGAAAGGTAATATATAAAATTCCCCTCCCTCCAGGCAATGAACAGAGGGAAAAAAAGCATGTTACTTTAAAAATGGCTGTATCTGTAGGTTTTTAAAAACCAGCACCAAGTGTTCATGTTTAATTATTCTGAGCAACATTTAGGAATTAACATTCCCTAACATTATGGTCAAACAAGAGTGAACAATAAGGGAATAACTTTCAAACATTATTGCATGTTGATAAGAACTATTAAGTCAAATAATCTGATTGGCTCATTTGTAAAGCTGCTGTAGGTTTTCCCCAATTTGGAAATAGCACGCCTCACTGCTCAGGTAATAAACCTCCTCCCCAAATCATTGGTACAGCGTAATTTTGTAACTAGGCAACATCAAGTAAAATTACATGAAAATATAGTTTTAAAAGGTTGCTCAAAACAACCACTTATTATAATGGTTTTCTACTTTCTCTATTAAGGGGGTGGGGATGAAAGGGGGACATCAAACCACAGCATAAAGTGTCTAGAAAAACTGAAAGATTCACAAATAGTAGTATTATCAGTTCAAGTCTACATAACCCTTTATGACATTATATTGATAGCAATATTATGATCAACATTATACAAGTTTTCTTATTTCTTCCTCACACTGTAGCAATTTTATTCCCATTATAAACCAGATTTTAACTCTGCAAATTGTTTAAATCAACTTTTTGCACCTTGAATTTACAAACCATTAGATGTTAAGTTTCCTGAAAGCTATTTATACTTTTAAGCTTTACTTAAACTAAACCTAAAACTCAATTCTTGAAAAAACAAAAAACTAGGTGCTTTAAACAGAACTTTGTAGAAATATACTGATACCAGTGTTTGAAAGATAACCTACCAAGAGCTATAAAAGGGCAATTATCATATAAAAAACTTCTATGGCCAACTCTTGTTAGAAAATTTATTTTATAAATAAACTTCTTTCATGATACAAGATGAAATCAAAAGATGGAGATTAAATTTTTCCCTAAAAATAAGTAGTTGCTCAGGACATAGGCTGAGTATACTGAAATCATATTGCTTCTTTGATGAAAGAAAAAATGTTTTAGCCAGGCATTCCATTAACAAAAAAGACCATGACACCTTTCCCTAGTCTTTTGATCTCTGGGTACTACTATTACCCAAGATAACCTCATTGAAAAAGTTGGTTGGCAACCCTACCTAATAGGAGTCTCAGGTCCCTTAATTTTGATAGTCATCTTGGTAAATATAAAACTTTAGCTACTTGAACAATGGAGCTTATAAAGTGCATTAAGTATAAGAAACACAACAGAAGTGCTAAACTCACTTAGTAGGACTTTAAGGGACTTGATGTCACCAATAGGGCAAAAAAACAACATTATAGTTTTCTGTTCAGATTTTATTTGAAATCTAATTCAAATTGTCAAAGCTACAAAAGGGGGGAAGACATCTGTATTATTTTTGCTAAGTCACAACATCCTAAAACAAAATACTACTACTGCCAGCAGATCCATTATACACATTTCTGATGAAATTCATTAGCACAATAAAAATTTCATCTTGAGAAACAGCCACAACGAAAGTAATTTATACAATATAAAACAATGACAGGTCTACAGATGCAGTTACTCATGAGTTTACACATGCATTCACAAACAAATAAACAAAAAATCCAGGAATGCTCTTTGATTTTTTGTTTTTTTTAAAAAAAAAAACAAAAACAGACCATTCAGGCACAAAACAAAACTGCATTTCCAATAAGTGACAGCATCTTAAAAATTTATGTCAGTGTTTGTTTTTCTTTGACTTTTTATGAGACCTGTGTGGAGATCGGGACTGGGATCTGGACTTTTTCCCTGACTTTTTAGGGGATCTAGACCGTGATCGCCTAGACCTTTTAGGTGTCCTCGAGCCAGATGGTGATCTGAGGAAACAAAAACAGTTTATCAAAGTCATATAATCAAAATGGACTATCCTTTAATTATCTAAAATGATCTTTAAGAGAGCGCAATGAAAGTCAGAAATAAAAAAGGTTGTAAACTTTCTGAATTTATACTTTGCCTACTTTACACACACACAATTTTGTACCACCTATGCACAATCAATGATTATTAGTGTGCTTGCTTAAAAAGACAGATTCCTGAGACCTACCACTGCTCTATTTAATCAAAATCCCAAGAGGTAAGGACTCGGAATTTGCATTTTTAATAAGCTCCCCAGGTTACCAATATGCCCCAAAGTCTGAACCTCTAAATCTACAAGATAAAGTTCAAAATGGCATCTAAGATCATTCACAAAATTTTTAAAACACAGCAGCATTGCAGCCTATCTTGAAGGAAAAAACACCGACTATTGCGTATCATTCAAGGCAATCATTTAAGATACCATAATTCTGTAAGTATAGTTCATGAACATTACCAAAACAAGTGCCATAAGAAAAGGAAAAATTTATTTTATAAAAATTTTATTAGAAATGCTCACAAAAATAAATTTTTAGGATACAAAGCAGTTTTAGTTCTCAGGAAAATTCCACTATATAACACCAAATGAATAAAACATTTCTTAACCATTTTTCTGGAACTATAAGGAAAAAAGTATATAACACTAAATTACCCACTGAAGAATCGTATTTATTTCCACAAGTCTCTACCCAAGAACCTGCTAATAAGATGCAGGGGCAGGAGGAAGAGAGTAATGTTATCTTTCTCTCAGCCTTGACAAAAATCAAAGAATATTCTATAGGAACTGAAGAACAGAATGAAAAGTAAAAGCAGCTATATCTAGTCCACATAAAACACTGGATATAATGTTTAAAATTCTTGGCTGGTCTTTACTTGTTGGAAGCCTTCTTGTGCTTTAGTCATGAGAAGACTAGGGTAGGGAGGTGGGAAGGAATAATCTAAAATGAAAGTATACTTCTCTGGTTTTCTAAAGCCCTTAAAAAATGGCTGCCAGCCAAATTATTTTCAAAAACTGGTAGAATGACAAGGAAACTGGCATTTGAAATATTACAAAAAAATAACTTGCATTTACCTTTTGGCCTTTTTGCTAACATCTCTAGGAGAATCTTTGTGAGATGACCTGGACCGTGAGCTCTCTTTATGAGATCTTTCTGAACGCTCTGATCGTTCCGATTTGGGTGAAGGGGATTTCACTCGTCTACCACTGCTACTGCGAGATGGGCTAGGGGATGTGCTGTGTCGCCTCTTCCTATGGAACAAAGCCCCCAAAATATTCCGTAAGTGAGCAGAGGATCAGGTATTCATTTTCCTTCTACTAAATTAGCTATTAATTCCTATCAGTTTACACTAACTTTATTTTCATTAACCTTGTTAATGTTATATCCAACAACATTCATTAGCCTTGTTAATGTTATATACAACAACATTCAAAGCCCTTTATAAAGAACAAGAAAGTCTTAAAGATAGGTTGACCAAAACAAAAACTGGATTCAACTAATTGGATATTCTTTAGCTATAAGATTGGGACAATGGATAAAATTTCATTAAGGTCTCTGGTTAGATAACAGTGTTTTCTTAAGGTTAACCCTCCAATCTGTAACTTTTATTGTGGTTATATAAGAAAACAGCACATCATTTGGCAAGTTACTCTTAAATGGTTGGGAGGAGGGAAAAAGAAGGGGGTAAAATTAAGCAGAAGTAGAAATATTTCAACATTTGGAGAATATGGGTGAAGGATATCTGGGAATTATTTATACTATCCTTGCAACTTTTCTATGAATCTCACAGTATAACAAAATAATAAATATAAAAAACAAACAAGTGGTAACTTCAGCATTTAACCAATTAGTATACCTATGTTATTTGTAATTACCTGTAGAGTAACTAAGCCAGAATTTATTTATTTGCATTCACTTGGTTATTAGGAAAATCTCAGTTAACTAAAGCAATTCTATTAAATGAGATATTTAGGAAATGTGAAAATAAAAACTAAAAGAGAAACGATTTTGATTAGAATGAAGACTTAAAGTGAGGAGCGAGTCCCTATGGCTTATGTACACAAACTGCTTTTAGACAGGATTGGGAGACTCAAGGTTACAAAGGCAGCAGCCTCAGCACAGAAGAAAAGCTTATACTGGAGCAACAAGGAGGATGTAGCAAGCCTGTTTAGTTATTTAAACCTTAGGTTTGATATCTAATATGGTAACTGAATTCTTGCACTTAACTAAGGCTAAGGTACCATATGAACCATGTAATGGGATGATGTCCCAATTAACAAAGTGCCAACTAACTGTCCCATTTCTCAGTTAATTCCGCCTCTTACAGGCAGGAGCCCAACATGTTTATCATGAAAAAAAAAATGCTTTTCCAGTTTGTTGGCCTCAGGGATGAAAAGATTACAAAATTAAACATTATTCCAAAACTTGAAAGCAGTGTAAGTATTAAATGAGAAATGTATACCTTTCTTTCCTTGTTGGAGTACATTCATCTTTTTCTTTCTTGTCTTTGGATCGAGATTCCAATTTTTCTTTATCCTTTTTATCCCTTTCTCGTTCTCTTTCTAATTCTTTCTCTTTCTCCTGTTTTTTAAAGAAAGAATATTTAGTCATTAAAAAAATACCAATCTGGGCTAATCTCATTTATGCAATAATATTTTAACTACTTTTTAAATCACTACTAAAGGTATAATAACATTGTTTTAAAAATACCTACTCTTCCAGGAAAACTAGTTATTTCTTCTACTTATACTGAGTGATAATACCAGTGACAGCAGCTAAACAGTTGTTGAATCCCTATCATAGACCAAATAATTACTAAACAATTTTCTATATACCATTTCATGTAATACTTCAAAACATCTTTAGAAATATTACTATTATCCTCATTCAAGAGATGAAAAATGAGACTCAGGAAGATTAAGTACCATGTTCATAGTCACACTGGACGGTGTAGTCAGGATTTGAGTCCAAGCTGTAGGGCCAGGGCTCTTAACTACTAACTCTGTCCTTCCACTAAAATAACAAAAGAAAAAACGAAAAAGCCAACAATACATTGGCCTTTCTATCATAGACTACAACAGAACAGTCAGTAAGGAGCGATTCTATAGCACACTGATTTAATCAAGAGAGTTCTCTCCAAAGCAATAGACTGAATAGGAAAAATAGTCACATTAATCATCCATCAGAAGATCTTATTAGTAACAACTACCATTTTTATTGGAAATTTTAAATCCTAATTTATAAAAGTACTGACCACATGATTATACAATTATATAAACCAGAAAGATGACCTACCTGCCTACTCCCACTGCTACAATTGCCATTCCTCACTTGAAATTATTTGTTAATAATATAAGTAAAGGAGTAGCTACAGCAAATGAACTCACAAAGCCAACTTAGTTCTTCATTAACAGGACTTTAATTTCTCTAAGATTTGTATGCATGAAGAAAGCTATCTGGTAGCTGATAAAAAGCCTATCCCAGAAGCTGCAAATATTTTTTGTTAAGAACTATACAGTAAATATTTTCTGCTCTGTGGACCACATTCAGTCTGTTCCAAGATTCACCTCTGTCACAATAGGCCAAAAGCCACTATCGATAATACGTAAGTGAAGGGGCATGGCTGTGTTCCATTAAGCTCATTTAAAATGAGGTGATGGCCTGTGTGGTGATGAGTCTGCTGACCTCTGGTATATACCTTCAAGAAACACATCCTCCTCTCCAGTTACAATTGTGGAATGCAAAGAGATTAAAATGATAATACATGCATTACCACCATCAGGATCAGTAAGTATCTCAAGGTGTAGTCTTCCATGCAGATCAAATACCTGCCATCAATTCCAAAGGGACTCATGGAGTACAGATCTTTTTAAAAATCTCATTTTCTTTTTTTGAAATAAAACACAGAGTACAGAATTAAAGAGTAATATAGAGGACACTGTCTTCCTCTAGTAATCTGGATATATTTTCCTGTTTAATAAATTTATAGGAATTAAACTAGTTAAAATACGTGAAATATTTTAAACAATTTAATCCAATAAAAGAGTAATAGTAGCTATTATCTCACACTCCTGCAAAATTGAGACTATCAACTTAGTTTCACAGTGAAATACAGGCTCAGTGCCTTGTCTAGGAGTACACAACAAAGGGCTGCACCAGGAATGGCGCTGTGCAGCGCTAAAGGTCTTTTACCATACTGCTCCCATCACCAGTTCGCTGTTAATAGCTTTATTGATTCTAAGTTCTGTTCTAGCTTGTTGTTCTCTTTTTCTCTATGTAGTTTTCTTTGTAATGACAGTCAAGATACAGATAAAAATTAAGAGCAGTCCCAATAAAATTCCTGGATTCTTCCAACAATTAATATGTGGGCTTCCTTGTTTTAAAATTCTCTGTATATCGCTACATGTTTTTTATGCATAAAGAATACGAGGCTTAAAATTCACTGATGAGGTATTTCTACCACTTGGTGTCCTTCTTCAGAAACAATGGAAAAGGAGTCCTAATAGAGCTTCCTAAATTAACTCCATCTTTGTCTTTGTGCCACTTCTGAAGGCTGCTGGTGTTTTACCGTCACAACAAATGCTGATGCTTCATATCAGGCCTTTTAATTCTGAAAGCATACTTTTAGCAGATTTTCTAGTCCTGAGGTAGTATATCCAGAATAAAACTGCATCTGTTGCTCTAAGACCCTTTTCCAAGTTGGAATAATAGTAAAATATCAAATTTCAAATGTTCCTAATTGTCTACCAGTATTCAGCATTTTACACATCAAAGGATGTAATGAGATATACTTTTCCTTAAGTATACCAATATATCAATATTGTAGGTAGTCAAACAAATATCTTTGGAAAATGCATTATTATTCCTTACTCGTTGAAGAAGTTTATCTCTGTAGTGTTCTACTTGCTCCTGAAAGCTCTGGCCTGGTTTTTTGGGTCTTTTTCCAGATTCCAATTCATCCTGAAACTTCATGACTTTAAGCTGTGAAATAAGACATTTTAAAAATAAATATTTTCATCACTGTAGCTTTTCAAGCAGTGCTTTGCTCCTTTAAAAAATTTTTTTTTCTTTGAAATAAATGTTTTAAAAAAGAAAATTATAAACACAGCAAAGCAGTAACTGATTAGGACTCAGTCAACATAAAGCTCCTTCATGGGAGGACCACTTGCTAGATGAGCCCAACTATGCAGAATCCAAGTGATCAGACATGGGCCCATATGCTATCTGCACAGTCACATGAGATGACTCAAAAACCCACAAACTGCAGCTCATGCCCTTAAGAACCTACTTATTATCTCAACACAATGATAATGAATTTGCTATATGGCTCCCCAAATGTGAAAGGCAAGGTTGCTAAATGCAAGCACACCTCCAACAAAACAGGACAGCAGGCAGAACACAAGAAGATAAATAATTTTTTTAAAGCAGCATTCTTTACAGTTCACGTAGGACCAAATACAGAGCTGCAGAGTTTAAAGGTTTCACTGTTTATAATACAGGGCAATCAATGTTCAACTATAGACATCTTTATTACAATATATTTATAGAAGAGCTTTCAAAAGAAAAACTACAGTATACAATATGCTGTAATAATATACAGTAATATGACAACACATTATAACAATGACTTTATATATATGTGTATACACACACACACACACACACACACACACACACATATATATTCCTTATTGAACTAAGGAAGGACATAGAAGGACTAAGAACAAGAACTTAGAGGATGCTGGAGGCAGAGGTAGAGAGAACATGGATCCTGGATCAAATACAGGGGCAGAAAGAGCACAGGAATGAATCTCATGAGCCCTGAGTTCTAGTTCAAATTTGCCACCAGTAGTGAATCTTTATTCCACACAACTAAATCTCAGAGTAAACAATGGAGAAGAATTAGGTAACTCTAAAATGAAGCCAAGGGGTGCCTGGGTAGCTCAGCTGGTTAAGTGTCTACCTAAGCTCAGGTCATGATCCCAGGACCCTGCTCAGCTGGGAGCCTGCTTTACCCTCTCTCTCTGCTGCTCTCCCTGCTCATTCTCTCTTTCAAAAAAATACACAAAATCTTAAAAAAAAAAAAAAAATTCAAAATGAAACCAAGACCTAGGTTTGAAAATTAGGGATTTGGTTCACCATCTAAATCTCAAAAGGGTAGTAAGTTGTGAGAGGTAGGCACTAAAAGAACAGGAGAAACAAGCACTGAGTAACAATGGAGAGGCCAGATTATTAAGGAGCACAGGAAGTATGGAAATGTGTGTATGTAGATGTGTATCTCTCTCTCTCACACACATATATAGATACAGTGTGGAAATAATAATGTTCACAAAAACCATGCAAGTTACCAAAAAGCCAAATTATGTGGTTTTCTTCTCGTTAAGCCAATAAGGAAACATAACATTTAAAAACTATCCAACAGTCTGTTTTGGCATTTAAAAGGGGTAACTTCATTATCAAGAAAATATTTTTAGAAACGCCTGGGTGGCTCAGCAGTTGAGCATCTGCCTTTGGCTCAGGGTGTGATCCCGGGGGTCCTGGGATTGAGTCCTGCATTGGGCTCCCTGAAGGAAGCCTGCTTCTCCCTCTGCCTATGTCTCTGCCGCTATCTCTCTCTCTCTCTCTCTCCATGTCTCTCATGAATAAATAAAATCTTAAAAGAAAAAAAATACTTTCCCTGTTAACATTCTGGCTTGGTGATATCCAAGAAAGAGTTGGGCAAAAACCTGTAACAGCCCAACAGTGATTAGAGAACTGGAAATATGGTAACTACTATGGTAGATATTATAAAGTAGTAAGAGGAAGAATCCTGACACATAGTAGGCATGCAAAATACTGTTAATTAAATTAACAGATAAAGACCTAAAATACACTCTGATATACACTTTTGAGACTGGCTGACTGCTAGCTATACCAACATTTATCAGGAATGTTTCTCCTTGGGGCAAGGAATGAGGAAGGTTTCCATTACAACAGACTTTCCTGATATGTCTGACTATTTTTGGTAATAAAAAAAAAAAGGCACTGAAAACGAAGAGGGGATTGAGGGAGGGAAAAATCTGCTTGAGATAGTTTGGACTCATTCCCATAAGTTTTTCCTCTTCTTACTGTTAAGTCCCACTTAATGCTCACTCTCCCCATCACAAAAGGATGCAGGCACTTAAAATGGACCCACTGTCATAAAATGTACACATAACCTGAATGCCAGAAAATATCTTACTTTTCCTTGTTACATACTATGCACACTCAAATGTAATGGGACTTCATAATGCCAAATGTAATCTATTCATTAGAAGAATTAGTATCTTCAGAGGATCTCCTATGTGCCAGATACTGTATTAATGATGATGAACAGACAACAGACATGGCCCTTTCCTCCTGTAAATCACAGCCTAGTAGGGAAGAAGACATTAAACAAGCAAGCTAAGAACAGAGAAATAAAACACAAGCCACAATACATGTAAAATCACAAGAGAAAGTAAAAAGAGGTAAGCAAATGCAGAAGTGTAAAAGAAGGATAGCAGGAGAGAATGGATGCTTAAACTAAAAGGCCTATTAGAAGTCAGCTGGTATAAAGATTTCTCGGCAGAGAGAACAGCATGCAAAGGAATGATGCCAAGAGGGGAACTTAGGTCAGTGGAAAAGTGATAGAGGACCAGTGAAGTATAGTTTCAACTTCACTGCAATACTAACCTCAATTTCACGAAGTTTAGCTCGTTTTTCCTCGCTCATTTCAGAGTACTTAGAAAACTTGGACTCAGTCATTTCTTCTTTGATTGGGTTAGAGTACAAATGATGTTCTTCTGATTTGGAACTTTGAGTATCTTCTTCATCTTCACTTTCTTCTTCTTGACTTTGGAAATAAGCAGAATATATCGTATGTCAAGGCAGAAAAAAATGTTACATTTTACAGTCTGGCTTTTTTATATTTTACTACCTTAGACCATAAATAATATTGACAAAACAGATGAGTCCAATTCATCACTAAAACATTTCCATAAAGTATTTTACCAAATAACAAGCAATTTTCCTAAGACTCTCATGTTTCTTCCACTAAAAAGTCTAAACTTCAACATAATCACTTAAAAGAATTCTGTGTATGTTGATGTTATCTGTGTGCCTTTCATTCAGCAACAAACTTTCCTTACAGTGTTAAGTGAAACGAATATTAGACAATGATTCCCCATACTTTTCCAGTTCAATTTCAGGAAGTTTATCCTTAAAAAAGCCAAACATTTATTACTCCTTCTTCAGCAGAGCCACACACTAGAAAATACATGAGTTTGTGTCATACAGTTAACTATGAAACGAGGTAGCATGTAAAGACCTTATCTAATTAGCACATAACCCCAGGAATAAAGCAATGTACAAATTTTAAATATTATCATACATTAGTACTCATAACAGAGTTGATTCTGAAAATTGTACTGGTTGTACATCAGATAAGAAGAATATGAAAAACTAAGTGATTACCATGAGTAAGGATACAAAGAAGAAAAAATCTGCTATCCCTCCAGAAGCAGTATAGTGGAAACGGGCAAGCAACTGTGTGCAAAGTTGGTGGTCTTCATTGCTAGACTAGGATTGAAAAAATGTTCCTGAAACATAAATGAAGACACTAAAAAAAAAAAAAAAAAAAAAGTTGTGGGATCCCTGGGTGGCTCAACGGTTTAGTGCCTGCCTTCAGCCCAGGGCGTGATCCTAGAGTCCCAGGATTGAGTCCCACGTCGGGCCCCCTCCATGGAGCCTGCTTCTCCCTCTGCCTGTCTCTGCCTCTCTCTCTCTCTCTCTCTCTCTCTCTCTCTCATGAATAAATAAATAAAAATCTTTAAAAAAAAATAAAAAAAAATAATAAAATAATAAAAAAATAAAAAAATTTAAAAAAAAGTTGTATGCTCTGGTACAGGGCTTTGGTGTGTACATATGTCAAATCTGTGCAAAACAAGTCATTCACACATAAACTCAGAATATTCACGTATATGCAAACAAAATTCCTTTTTCAAATAATACTGTGACATTAACATTACTGGCACAGCCTAGAAAACATGCCATTTTCCCTTTAATATATGAACCTTATTTGTTGGTATTTGGGTACTAAACACATTCTGCCGAAGTAGGAATCCTTTCAGTACATATTTAAAATTATTCATAATAATGTAAAAGTAATTATAAAGAAATTCTTTCCAAAAAATTATTTGAGAGACTGATAAAAGAACTCACACTCTGATGAGAAAATTTTAAGCAAGGCAGATAAAAAGTGTTGGCAATTCAGAATCAGAAACATGGTACTAAGAGAAGACTATGCTACTAGCTTTGTAATTTCTTACCCAAAGGTAACATTTCTAAAAGGCTTTCCAGAACATTTCTAAAATGCTTTACAAACTTTATACTCTCAGAGCCCCACAAATCATTAGTACCACATAAAGGTACAACCTACTACAATGCTTAAAGAAGAAAATAGTAAAAGCAAATCACTTAAAAACTATATTCTTTTTAGAAATAAATATTTTATAACACTTCTCATTAATTTATCAGAAACTTCCTAAATGCAGTTTTTAGTTAATTTTTTTAATCACAATTGTCTTTTATGGTGCATAAATTTTTTGCAAGTGTTCCAGATGCTTTTAAATGGTTAAACTATATGCATGTGTATGTATAAATACAGAGGTTTGCTGGAGGATTATTCTGGAGAGAGTCACTCAAAAAGGATAAAACATAATTAATTAAATTGTGGTATCTATGCAATGGAAATGAATTAACCAATTCCAGCTTGTTATTTACAATTTTTCAAAAATTTTTTTCAAATTCAAATATTCCTTAATTAACATCTTTGTACACTTCCCTGAATGCTTTCAACTACAGATAAATATAGAAGAGATTAACTACAGATTGACACAGAATAATGCCCATGACATTTAAGTGAAAAATGGAGTCTTGGAATAGTATGTGCAGTATTATACAATTTATGTTTAAAATAGAGAATACATGTTTTCCATATACAGAGAAAAAATCTAGATGGCAAGACACGAATCATTAACCATATTTACTTTTAAAGTGAGCTACATTTGATAATCTAAAATACATATTCATTTTACAATTGCTATTTTAATTTTTCAGGGCCCAAGCAGTCTGTTCTAATTGGTTTTGACTTTAGCTCTTAGTTACCAGTTCTAGGTTCAGATCTCATCACAGCTTCATCTTACTCTTTTAAGGAAATGGAAATTCAAGACTATAAAACCATACAATATTCACTATAAATGAAATTAAATTAGTATCTGGAAGTTTTCTACAAAATAATACTAGGGCTATATTTTTTAAATTCCCTTTCTGCCATAAAAAAAGAATTACTAGTTTCAAAATGGCATTTTGGATTCAGCCACTAGAGGACAGTAGTAGGGCATAGAAAATTTTCAAGGACCAGAAAGTTCTACATGAGAAAATATACCTTTTCTTTCCTTTTGTACTTTTATAAAGTTATTTTTATGTTATCATGATTTATTTGGAACTCTTAAGAAAAATCAAAAATAAAAATTATATTTCCAGTAATCCAGGCCTCACTGTATAAACATGATTATTCTGTCAACACTAAAATACAGTCACATTCCAAACATTAACATAAATACCAACTTTATACAAAAAAAGTTAATACCTTTAGAAACAAAACCAACTGAAGAAATATCTAAGTTCTGCAATGGCCTTCTCTACCTTCTTTCCCCTTAAATTAAATAATTATCTCATAAATGCACATAATTATTTTAAGCCAGTGATGCTACAATGGTGAGAGATGTTAATAATGATATTGTAGAGATTAAAAAAGGTTAAAGCACTGTTTTAAAGCAAACTCGATTGTCTCAATTCCTGTACTCCTAAACACCCATAGAGAAGTATTTTCACCAGCAAACCACATCTACATTTTGCAAGTATTTTGTCATAATCATTGCTGCTGACCATCCCAATGTTTCTAGAAAACATCACTGCTGCCAAGTTTCCTCCGCATATCAAATTGTGCTCCCACATACGCTGATCAATCACATTCCCTTAGCTATCTAAATGCTACTAATACCCATTTTCTGAATCCGTAAGTCCCATACAAATGGGACTTAAAAGAAACTTTCCTTTGTTCACTTTCCCATTTGATAACCATAAAAAAAAAAAAGATTTTTTTTTTTTTAAAAGCAGAAACCTCTGCTTTGTGTTCCTGAACTCATCTGTTCTCCCATTTAATAAAATTAAGTTCCCTGCAATGATTTAAAGCAGTATCAAGTTCTACCTAAAATCTACCAATACAAACTTGCCAGGAGAAACCAGGAGCAGTATTCCTATAATCACATTCAATGTTAATGCAAAAACAATCTTGGGGTAGGGTAGGGGGCACCTGGGTGGTTCACTCGATTAAGCAGGTAAGCATCTGCCTTCGGCTCAGGTCATGATCCCAAGGTCCTAGGATCAAGCCCCACATTGGGCTCCCTCTTCAGTGGGAAGCCTGCTTCTCCCTCTCCTTCTACTCAGGCTCTCTCTCACTCTCTCAAATAAATAAATAAAATCTTAAAAAAGAAACAATAATCTTGGGGTGATTATCAAAGAGCAAAATTCAAAATTATAATTTCTCTGTATGTTAAAGCTTTTTTTCCTTTTATTTATTCTTTAGTTATATTATTTAGTTCTTCTGAGATGTTTATATTTAAATGACAGAATGGCCATAATGCAATGTTTTTCTTAGCAAAGTACAATCCAAATAAAAAGTGCATAACTTTCCCATTCACATTTAAAAAATCACTTTTTGCAGAGCCAAACAATACTTGTTAACAAAGATCTGAAATAAATGCAGCTGACCATTTAGTAACTACCCTGTGAGACTATATACTCCTAGCATAGAAAAATCAACTCAGAAGCAAAGAGAAACCAGATCCATCAAGACCAGAAACCAAAAGCTCTTTATTCATTGGATAAACAATGACGAATTAAAAATGATCCTCTCAAGTTTTTTTAAGAGTGAAATTTTCCTCTTCACTATTATTTCAAGTATACCTAATGAAAAAGGGAGCATATATGGAATAAGAAACTAAGTATATTCGAAACTTAGATTCTTACTTTTGATTTTCTTCTTCTTCTGATTCTTCATGCTGGTCAAATAACTCCCATTTAGAAGTTGTTACAGCTGAACGAAAGAAAAAAAAAAAAGGATGTAATTCCATAAGGTAAATTAGCATTTTTGCAGTAGCATAGAAGCCCAGCTTTAGAATTTAAAGTCTATATTACAGAAGTTATCTACAATTATCTATTCTTTGAATAGCCATTTCTCCATACTAAATTTATTTCTTTCCTTACTCCTATAATTTTATTCAAATTCATGAAGTGAAAGTAATGTTATCATTCTTATTTCTGTAGTGGATGGTAAGACTTATTTAATTAGAATCTACAAATATTAACAACGACAGATTATAAACACTAAGGACACATGTCCAAAAGTAGGAAAGGCAGGTCTAAACTGCATCTAGCAAGTCAAGCATCACAGGAGGATCAAAGTCTGGTTTCTCCAAAACTGACCTCTAAGCAGATTTCCAAATAGGTATACCTTCCCCATCTACATTTTCTATTAAATTGCCTTAATCCAAAAGGTTTTAGTGATTTATCTGATTACTCTCAAAGCATCCAAACTGAAAGATCTATGAAAACTATAAGAGCAACTATAATGAATACTGAGCCACTAGACAAAATATAGTAACTCTGGGTCCTAAGATTAAAATGTGCTAAAATACAAAAAGAAAACACACACTGATTAATTTTAAATATTCAATTTTTAAAATCTTAATATTTATTTTACTTTTACTCACCCTGTGCTTCCAATTCAGATTCATCTACAGCTTCCCATTTTGATGGGGCAACTTTAAATATAGGCTCATTCTTCTTTGAGTCCTCAGCTGCATCCACTATTAAGGAAAGATAAGCCATTAGCCCTAACTACTAGGGGATGACTTTAGTAGTCCATGTGTATTTCACTATATTATAAAAAGTAAAATAAAATAAGGCCACACATGGACTAATAATGCTAGTGTTAAGAACAAGAATTAGGACTAATCCAATTCTCTGCACCTAAGGTCCAATTTTTAAAACATATATGTCAATTCAGAATATACAAGGTATGATTTCAAGCAAATGGAAAAGTCAGGGCAGTAAAAAAAAAAAATTATCTCTACCTAATTATTAAACTCTACAATTCTTACACTGTTCAATCTTCTCATGTAATTCAAATGTGCTAAAGACTGTGTACACTTCCTATTTCCAAAAATGATTCTAGGCATCTAGGAAAACTGAACCCACAAACTATGAATAAAAAGAGAACTGATGAAACAAAGCATCTGGGATTATAAATAAAACTGAGCACAAGATTTTTCCTGACAATTAACACAAAACAGAAACTTACTAATACTATATGAGGTTGACTATCCCCAAAAAGAAATGTAACCAGAAAGCTTTTTCTTGGCAGAGTCAAACATGTAACAGGGTATTTGAATTTTGAAAAGTCAGAAAAGAAAAAAATTAAAGACTGACACCTTAAGTTTTTCCATTATCAGCATGCATAGATATAAAAGTGTTTTGGAATCCAACTTATTAGCTCATCAGTTTGAAATGTGAACTTACAAGGCACTCCATCAAGATCATCATCAAGACTCTTTATAGGGACCCCATCAAGATCATCAATGGGAGTAGCATCAATAGGAATTCCATCCACATCTTCTAGAGGTGCACCATCAAGCTCTTCCTCAATGGGGGCACCATCAAGGTCATCTGGTACATCCTAGAGACACATACAAACTGCTGTAATATTCCCCTTTGCTTACTAGTCATATTGCTACAAGATTAATTTGCAATCCAGCACAAACCAACCAGCTGGATATCCATATTCCCAGGTAAAATGTGAGGACATAATTAGGATATAATTTATCCTCTTGTATAACAAAGAAGCAGTCATTCTTTCATTATTTATGAAGTATCTACCAAGTGTCTGCTAAAGCCAGGTACCATATAAGACACCAAGCATACAATGATGAGCATAAATAAGTTTGTTTCTTTAGGTCCCTCCTGTAATAGGGTTTAAAGAGAACATATCTTAATCAAGGCCATATATGAAAACCCACAGCTAACATCATATTCAATGATAAAATACTGAAGTTTTTCCTCTAAGATCAGGAATAGGACAAGAATGTCCACTCTCAACACTTTTATTCAACACAGCACTGGAAGTCCTAGCCACAGCAATGAGATTAAAAAAATAAATAAATAAAAGGCATCTGAACTGGTACGGAAAAATAAAACTGTCATTATTTGCAGATGACACTGTTCTATATATAGCTTAAGGATTCCACCAAAAAAAAAAACTATCAGAACAAATGAATGCAGCAAAGTTGCAGGACATAAAATTAACATACAGTAATCTGTTGTATTTCTATACAAATTAATAAAGTGATAGAGAAATTAAGAAAACAAGACCATTTACAATTGCACCAAAGAAAACAAAACACCTAGTAATAAATTTAACCAAGGAGGTGAAAGATATATTCTGAAATCTATAAAACACTGATGAAAAAACTGAAGACTAAAAAAACCAATTAAAAGATATTCCAGACTCATGGACCGGAAGAATGAATATTATTAAAATGTCCATACTATCAAAATAATCTACAGATTAAATGCAATCTCTATCAAAATGCCAAGAGCATTTTTCACAGAAATATGTAACCACAAAAGACCTCAAATAGCCAAAGCAACGTAAGAACAAGGTGGAGGTATCACAATCCCAGATTTCAAGATACACAAAGCTATAAAAATCAAAACAAGGCAGTAATGAAGCACCTGGTGGCTCAGCCAGTTAGGAGTCCAACTCTTGAGTTTTGGCTCAGATCGTGATCTCAGGGTCATAGGATTGAAGCTAGCAGCAGGCTCCATGCTTGGCAGGGAGTCTGCTTATCCTCTCCTCAGCTTCTCTCCCCCCCCCCCCCCCCGCCCCGCTCATGCTCTTGCTCTTAAAATAAATAAATAAAATCTTAAAAAAAAAAAAAAAACCAACAAGACAGCACAAAAATAGATACATAGATCAACAGAACAGTACGAGATAAATACCCAGAAATAAGCCCACACTTATATGGTCAATTAATCCACAACAAAGGAGGCAAGAACATACAATGTGGAAAAAGATAGTCTCTTCAATAAATGCTTGGGAAACTAAATAGCCACATGCAAAACAAAAAAGAAACCACTTTCTTACACCATACACCAAAGTTAACTCAAAATGGATTAAAGACCTAAATACAAGACCTAAAACCATAAAACTGCATAAAACACAGGCAGTAATCTCTTGGGCATTGGCCTTAGCAACATATTTATAGCTATGTCTTCTCAGGAAAGGAAACAAAAGCAAAAATCAACTACTGGGACTATACCAAAATAAAGCGTCAATAATCAAAATAAAGAACTTAAGACAACTCAACACCAAAATAAAGCAAATAATCTGATAAACAAATGGGCAAAGAACCTGAACATATATTTTTTCAAAAGACAACATAGATTATCAACAGACACATGAAAGGAGGCTCAAAATTATTAATTAGGGAAATGCAAATCAAAACCATAAGGAGATGTACCATCTCATACCAGTTAGAATGGCTAGTATCAAAGACAAAAAATAACAAGTGTCAGCAAGGATGTGGAAAAAAGGGAACCACTGTGTACCATTTGTTGGTGAGAATGTAAATTGATACAATTGTGGGAAACACGGATATTTTTCAAAAAATTAAAAATAGAAATACTATATGACCCAATAATTCCACTGTTGGGTATCTACCCAAAGAAAAAACACTAATTCAAAAAAAAATACACTCCTACTTTTTTTCTTAGCATTATTCACAATGGCCAAAATATAGAAATAATCCAACTGTATACTGACAGATGAATGGATAAGATGTGATGTACATGCACATACATAAATATTAGTCATCAAAAAGAATGGATTCTTGCCAGCTATGACAACAGAGATGTACCAAGAGAGTATTATGCCAAGTGAAATATATGAGAGAAAGACAATACAATTTCATTCATATATGGAATCTAGAAAATCGAAACAGACAAAAAAACACAGGGACTCGTAAACACAGAGAATTGGCGGTTGCCAAAAGGAAGCGAAATAGGTGAAGGAGATTAAGATGTACAAACTTCCAGTTATATAAAATAAATGTCACAGAGATGAAAAGTACAGCATGAGGAACACAGTTGATAATACTGTAATAATAACACTGTACGGTAACTACACTTATCAGAGTGAGCATTAAGTAATGTACAGAATTGCTGAATCACTATGCTGTATACCTGAAACTAACATAACACTGCATGTCAATTGTACTTCAATAGTTAAAAAAAAAAAAAAAAAGATTGGAGGAAAGAAAAAAAACCAAAAACACAAAGATTGAAGGAAAGAAACCCAGTCACCCAGTTTTCACATAAGATCACAAAACAGGTAATCCCTGTTATACATCATTTCATCTCCTGAGCTCCAGCAATTCCAGCAACAAAAATCCACAAGTTAGTGGTAAATAGATATTTTTCACAAAGAAATGCTACTCACATCTGTAACATACCACACACCCACTGCATTCCCAGAAAACATTTCTAAAATAATCACATAAAGACATTGAGTGCCCACCTCTGTTTCCTTTTCTTCAATAATATTTACAAGTCCTAAGAAAATATTTTGTAGTTTGATCAAAAATGGTTCTGGATAAATTGCCCAATCCTCCCATGCTCTGAAGCAGGTCATTACCCGTTGCTAAATAAATAGGAAAAAGACAATGAATTATTATTTAGGGCAATATATCTCAAACTTTATCTCAGGATAATGGCCATCACAATTTGCTGAATTTTGCTTTAAACCAACATCCTTAATAGAAAACAAATATCATTATATTTTTAAAAAATCAATGTCACCTCCTAACTAAAAGGGAATAAAATTAGAAATAAGTATAATGAAAAAGAAACAGTAACTGTTTGGCTCTTGACCACCTAAGATTAATGTCCCATATCACTAGTGGTACACATGACACCACACTCTGGGAATAAAACCTTAGACATTTGTGAAAATTAGATATCAAGGTAGTTTTGACCTGAATTCCTTTATGGTCCAATGAAATACTTCCTGATTCTGGCTAATACTTCTTCCTCTGTCCCATCTCTAAACTTTTCTATAAGCTCTGATTTACAGTCAAAATTTAAAGTAAAAGAATTTTTAAATGGAGTTGTTTAAATTCCCTAAATGATGGGGTCATTGGGCATCTTCCCAGGCTGAAAAATGTCCTTAATAAAAGTCTTCCTCCCATGAAAATAGCATCTATTTATTCCATTACATGCAAGGTATTTTGTTTGGCTTTTCTTAACATTGGTCCACAGCTAAAAGATTATAAAAAATAACTAAATATATTTTCTAAACATGAATAGCTAAAAGCATGTTCCTACTCCAGCCAAATTATACATACCATTCAAAACAAGTGATATTCTGAATGGTTTTTTGTGAAAAGACTAATATTTAAAACATTTAAACAAAACACTTCAAACTAAAACAAACACCCAATCAAGTAACACTACATAATATATTTCAAACTTTCAGACATTTTTGATACTAAAGATAAAATGGCCGTAAATTTTAAAACAATAATTTCTGAAAAATACACAATGTGTCTTAGACTTGTCCTATGTACTTTTCTAACCCTCCAATGTGCTTGCCAGCCCCTACCCCGTTTAACACTAGGGAAAAAATAAAACAATAAACATACCTTGAAGTTTTCAGACTGTAAATGGCCTTGAATTGTACGATAGGTAGCATTGAGGTCTGAAAATATCTGACATAACTTTGTTTCAAAACTGAAATTCAAATAATATATATTTACAATAGAATTTATTTAAAAATCCGTATCTACTTCAGCATGCTAGCCAATGAAAACCTCTCTAGAACTTAAAAACAAAACCTTAAAAATAAATTAATCAAGTAATTCTTTAAAAATCAAGAACGAGGTATCTTAAACTTAAAACTGTAATTAAATGCCTTATCCTAAATTACTCTCCTGCAAAAAATTAGTTCCTTTGATTAACAAGGAACTTTACGTTTAGGATACTTTCTGCTACCTAAACTGACCTCTTTGTTTTATAATAGGAAAAGTAACTTGTCCAAGGGAAAAAGAAAAAAAAAAAAAAACACCCTAATAACAGAGCTAAGATTAGGACTCATATCTCCAAATGTCATTTCAGCATCAACTCCTGGAGAAAAGTCTCCCTGATTCATAAACATCAAAAAGGAACTCTGAGGAGGAAGTATATATTAATTACAAGAGAGCAACATAATTTCCTACTGCCTCGGAAAACAATCACAGTGAACTACACCAATACAATGATGATCAAAAGAGAACATAGCTTTACAAACAGTTCATGTTCTGTCTTTGGTCTCTTCCTTTATGCCTGCCACTATTTCTATTGTTTCCGTTTATTTACTACACAAGTGGCTAAATGTTCAATAAAAATAGTTATTTTTTTAACTCTTATTTGTTCTAGTATAATTTATCAAGAAACTGATATGAAAACTTTCTATACATTAAAGAGGTCTAATGAAAGCAGCAAATTTTTTAGAAAAGTCTATAAACTATGAAAAAATTCAAATTATTTATTACTGAGACTATTAACTAACAAAACAGTCCTCTTTTTTTAATTCCTTACCCTTAATGTTTTATTTCAGGAATATCAGCTTACACCATTATACTTACAATTTTCTATAATATGAAGCATTGGCAACTTTGGCTGAAGAGTTATACAAAACATCAGAAACCAAATATAATCTGGCAATCTAGAATACCAAAAGATAACATAAAAGAGATTAAAAATAAAAACCAGCAGCAAATAATGTATCTAGAAAAAATTCAATACTGAAATTTTTTTGCAATCAGTGGCATAAGGCTAATGTTTAGCTACAGTAAAAACAGCTAATTAGAAAAGTTATAAGAAACTCAACATTACCAAAGCCACTACTTTGGCAGGGATAAAATATGTAACTTCTTTACATTTCAACCTGTTGATAACCTGTATATAGATTAACATAACAAGTTTCCCCAGACAGGAGGAAAATACGACTACATGGGAAAGATCTCTTCAGTCAAGTTCTTCATGCAAAAACAAAACAAACAAACAGAAAAAAACCCACCAATTTCAATCCAAAAAGAAATCAACTATTATCTCTCTTACTTAATTAAATGTTCCATAAAGAGAAATCATTTCCATACCTTTTTGGGGAGGGGTGTCTTTAAGATGGACAATGATTCAGTAATGCAATCCACTATTTCTTCAGCAGCTTCAGCATTATTAAGACAGAAAACCATTGCATCTCCAATATCATTTTTCCTTGGAGTTAACCCCCGTAGAATTTCTTCTAATTTGTCCCTCTGTCTGAATACAAATGTTTTTAGCTTATAAATATTTACAGATATAAATTTCAAATTCCATTATAGTTTCTGCTCACAAACTAATTTCTTTAAAGCCCAGTTGGATAAAATTCTGAAGACTAAATTGTGTTAAATCTGATTTAAATCCCCCAAATAGAATACATTTCTTTGAAGAGCTCATATTTCCTTTGTGAATAAAGAATTCCAGTGATTTTTAGTTTACAAATAAAGTAAATTTTAAATTATGGGCATTTGTTTCAAGAATGTTTGAGAGTGTCCCAGTCCTATTACCCCATTACAGTGGGGGGGAAAAAAAAGGCCTCCATGTTCTTCACTCTCTTTTGAAGTCAGTTATTTTAGCACTTCTGAAATAGAACAGGCTAAAGTAGGTGCTGGCAAACTTTGTAAAGGATCATACAGTATATATTTTAGGCTTTACAGGTCATATAGTCTCTCTTGTAATTACCTGATTCCACTGCTATTAACATGAAAAAAGCCATAGACAACATATAAAGGGGGTTGGGGGGGGGGATCATGATTGTGCTCCAATTAAGTCTGTTTACAAAAACATGAGACAGCCAGATTTAACATACAGGATGAGTTTCCAGATCCCTGGGCAAAAGTAATGATGAAAATACCTCTTCAGAAGCAAATATGCTTCAAATACATATAGCTCTGCATTAGCAAATGCTTTTACAAACAATGCATCAATGCAGCTAGTATTCAGAGCATACGCCACAATCTTTTAGCCGATTTTTTCCCATGAAACATACAGAACTTCCTCTTAATACTTAATAGTACTTGTTTCTAGTTCTTAAACCAGACTAACTTCACTGTACCCATGCTGACTGAACTGAAGACTAATAAATATGTTTTCATGGTGGCCACACACTGCAAACTCTTGTGGAAAGACTGCATAATCAACCATCAGACTTCATAAAACTCTACAGTAATTTTTTCTTCTTTAATGTTGCATTCAGAGAGCCAAGAATTCTAAAGGTCCCAAGATAATTTCTGTAAGAATCACAAATACTTCACTGCTAGAGAATCATTGCTAAGAGATCACCACCAACCGATGAGAGGTTTAGAAGGCTTTTTATCAAAAGGAGAGAAAAAGGTCAAAAGGACACACACTTATACTTGCCAAGACATTTCAAATTACATAGCACATGATGAGAAATGTTAATATTTTAAACATTCACACAAGTAAAAGAAAAAACATTTTATCTTAGGGCTAACATCTCAGTAAGAGCATTAATTAAAGCGATTATTAAAGCAACTTTTCTGAATATGTAACAGGAAAAGAAAAAATTCTTACTCTTCCTTAAGTGCTCCCTTTTTACTGGGCTCCTCTACAAAAGCTTCTGTTTCTTGCTCTTCTGACATCCCATGCAGGTATGGATTTAATGGTGGTGGCCTCCAGAAAGACCCATTTTTGAACATACGAAAATCTTCTGTCCGCCACTTAGTTGGAGAATCTCCCTAATAAATGTCCAGAATGTTATCAGAAAGGCAAAATATCTCAGAGCTAAAGTTAACAAAGTTTTGATTCCACTTACCTGCAGAATAGAATAAAGCTTCCACCTATAGTAAACATGGGCTGGTGTCTGGTTTTCAAATAAGAATCTAAAACAAAACAAACAAAAATTAAACATCATACTCTTTAACAAAGAAATGTCTTCAATTAAATGTAAACAAATGAGAAATATTATTTGCCTATTTCATTTTAAATAAAACCAAAAGCAAAGATCCCTAAAAGAAATCCTCACCCACTGCCTTCTGCCATCTATTCCCTTCCTCACCCTAGCCCCCAGACTGCCTTTGCGATGAACATTAGTTCTCAGAAGGTATGTATGCATCTTACTGAGTCTTACAACCAATTTTATTGAACACTTATGTCAGGTATTATATATGGCAATGGATTTTCCCAAAACAGAAATTTCAAAAGGAGCGGTTTTTAGAAGACTTAGGAGTGTTAAATAAGTGTCTTAGATACCATACCTATCAGAAGATAAGCAATTTTCTATAAAGCTCTATTGGTCTACTATGAAGAACTCTTTCACTGGAAAACATAAAGAGTAGTATCTTCCTCCCAGAGACTGCTAAAACCAATGTTATTTAATTAACCTAAATTAAAATCAGATGGAAAACTGACCCAAGTACATCCAGTCTAATTACTAAAACTACCTTCTCAACCCATTGCAAAAATCATCACACACTCTTAGAACTTTATTCTTGGAAATATTTTTAATTCCAAAAAATAAGTTAAAAGTATTTTTTAAATGCACACCTGAGGATAAAAAACGTGGTAAATACATGCAATGGACTAGATTCAGCTTTAAAAGGTAAAGAAATTCTGATACATGATTCGACATGGACAAATCTTGAAGATCTGCTAAATGAAGTGACTCTCAAAGTACAAGGACTGAATGATTCCATTTATATGAGGTAACTAGAGTAAATAAATTCAAAGAGACAAAGTAGAATGGTGGCTACCAGAGGTTGGAAGACCCAGGATATAGAGTTGCTGTACAAGGGGTACAATGTCAGTCATGGGAGATGAGAAAATTTCTAGAGAGATAGTGGTGACGGTTTGCACGAAAATGTGAATGCACTTGATGTCACTCAACTGTACATGTTAAAAACGGCAAAAATGGTACATTTTCTATTATTTGTATATTTTACCACAATAAAAAAATGCACACCTGAACATAGGATTGTTGATTTCTCTGTTCATAATCATAGCTTCAAACATTGGCCCTTCACGTACAACAAACTCTATCATTCGATGTATCAGGGCGAGCAAATTCCTACAACAACAACACAGTTAAAGAAAATGGATTCAGACCTACCACTATATAAAACTATACTTGACCTAAGTTACTATAAATGTGCAGAAAAAGATTATTCTGCTGACTAATATAAAATTTTATGCCAAAAAATAACCTGGAGCATATGTTAATGCCTTGTGCATTAAGAGGGAGTGGGACAATGGGGATAAGGGAGTGGGAGGGGAAGGAAAGGTGAAGGGAAGGTGGGAAACCACAACACAGCTTCATAGCAATAAATATATTTTCTAAATGCCACTTAATTTTATTTTCCAAATGCAAAACATTAAATTATGAATCACAACTAATTGGAAAGCTGCAAATATATAAAATCAGTAAACTTACAGCTTACATGTTATCATAGCCATCTAAAAACTTACACACTATCTCAGTTTTAAAAGAAAATATTTCTAAACCAAGCACTTTTGTGGTGGTATTGAAATGTTATATACATGACTATAATTTGTAAAAAAATGCAAAACTAATTAACAAGTTTAAGGCCTGATTTAATAAAAAATCCATCCAACTCTAGTGCTTTTCTGGTACACATACAGCAGACAGAGTTTTTATTGAATCTGACCTTTAATGAGGCAACATCCCTTTGGATCACACTTCAAATGGTTCATACGACTCATGACATGTATAATTCTGCCTGAATATTATGACTCAATGAAGCAATTATATTGCCAAAGCCTTAAATGGAGTCCTCTTTCCAAAATATTCCAAAATAAGGGACATGGTGAGATGCCTTTCCCATTTTTTCAGAACAATTACTTTCCAATATTTAAGCCAAAAAGAAACTTCAACTTTTTAGTAGTCATTTTATTGGCTGGGTTCATAAGAAAATCTTTATTTTGAAAATCTAGGTTCTAAAAATCATGTGACATAAAACACTATTTTAGACATTGATTACAGCATCTAGCAAAAATGACTCAGCTTATTATAAGCTGCTTTTGACTTCTCACTTCACCAGTCCCCAGCATACAGAGTAAGCAAATGGTAATTGGGAAAAGCAAAAGGATATTGGCTCTTGGTACAAGGCACACACTAAATTACACCTTTAGCATTCCCAGCTCAAATTAAGTTCATGTAATTGCTAGAATATAAATAGATATGTAGTTATAGAATAAGACAGATTTTTTTGGCTCTATAATGCCCTGCTTCAGAGTACATAAACAATAAAATAATTTATCTCATGGTCACTGTAATTATTTTCTCACAATTCAAACCAACCTACTTAAATGGACACTAAAATCTCTATATGGTGAAAAAATTTAATTTTTTTGACCTCCACTAGGTCAAAAAAATTATACGGAAGTTTAAATCTTTAATAAAGGGGAAACTAATATTTAAAACTATTAATTCAACCTCAAATTGTTAAAACAAACAAAAAAGCATTACTGAATTTTATATCTAAAAATTACTTTTCTTTCACAGAAGTATTAATTATTCTGCAAATATGCAGCTCCTGATATCCAAATGAGAATGTATTCTCAGCACCCATATAGGTATATTATTTTGAGGGAAGGGAGATAATGTAAAGTTATGATTCAGTTCCAAAACTCCTGCTGGTATATGTCAAATTCAAGTGAAGGGATATTTTATGCGAATATCGTAATATATAAAATCAATTACTGGGGGACAAATACTATACATCCAGAAACTTGTATGAATTAAGTCAAATGCAACTTGACTTGAATATTATAAACGAAAAATGGTTTAGCAAGTTTAAACAAAGGATTCACTGTAATGGTGAGTTAAGAAGCTTCAACAAAATGTATACTCAAATTTTAGTTTAGAAATAAGCTGAACCACTGTAAAGCTACTACTGGAATATGCTTTTTGAATGCTACAAAAATACTTTCCTCTGAATGCTTTATCAGTGGAAAAATAACCCACTATAGTTTTAAACAGGCTTGTAAACTGGTAAAATGTATTTTTAGAAAATTTAAAGTTTTAAAGTTTTAAAATGTTTCATGTGATTATTTAAAATCAAAATCTGACAATTAGTTGTTACTAGCTTGAATTCAAGATTATTAAAGAATTGTAATCACATTTTTATTTAGAGATTGTGTATTTAACATCATTTTTAAAAGGGTGACTTTTCTATCAGAATGAAACAGTGTAGTACAAAAAGATGATATATTTTAAAGTGCATTATTTTATTTTAAAATGGCAATTATCTTACTCTGGGCAACAATAACAAAAAAAAAAACCAAAAAATTGTCTCTAGTTATAATAAAACCACATTTATTGGATTCGATCGTACCAATGTCTGGTCAAAAACTGTATACTTTCCCAATCCATCCCATGATGTTTTCCTGGTCCCCCGCTGCCGCAGACAGTTCAGCTGGTGTTGCTCACCAAGGCCAATGTCAAAGAGAATTTGGTATTCTTTTGTGTTCATTTATTATTCAACCAGTGTTGTGTTCCTGTGTTTGGGAAAAGGCTTAGCTTGACTGAGCAAGAGCATACCTAGAGCATGAATTCTTCTGCTTTATCATTATGTTGAAAAAGAAAAAAAGGAAGAAAGGAAAATAAAAGAATTCCAAACACCTTTGTTACCACGAAAAAAAATTTCTAGTATGTTCAGTGTTCATGAAAATAATAGGAATTCCTAATCAATTAGAAAAAACCAAAGCTATGCCCTTCCATAAGGAGAACTCAAACTAAGGTTGCATTTAAACACAATAATTCAGGAACCAAGAGAAAAAAAACAGATTGGGTCAAATTGTAACATTATATACAATTTAAGATACATTAAAACACCTATTTTCCCATCACAATAGTCTAATATTATCAGGCTAACAACTCCAGATTAAATCAAACACATTCTAACTACTAAAGCTATAAAATTCCCTACTTTGACCACAATAAAAACAAAAAGATAATGACATAAAATTGCAAAGTATACTAGAGTTAGTCACATATCCCCCCAAAAAAGTACTGGGAAGGAACCATTGCTCAGTCAAGATACTACCTTTTCCTCAACACCATTTTTTTTTTTAATTCAGAAGGGGATATTGTCTATATTTAGATCAGTAATAATAAAGAAAAACATGTACCTTTCTGTTGGGATAACCACTTTGACTATGGCTTGCGACAGAGTCTGTATATGAAGTCACATCAGATAATAAACATAGAATATGTGAGTATTGTTAACAAGTAACAAGCAAAAATATACATAATGCATTGAAAACACTACACATCTAATCACAAAGTTTTGCAGGCAATCACTGCATTTGAAGTAATTATACACTAAGCAATTACATAAATGCAAATGGATGTGTTCAGTGAACAATAAATGTTCACCAAATGCAAAGAATCAGAACATTCCTGCCAGAATGCACATCAATGCACTGAAATAGGTACTACACTGAGAATTATCAGATAAAGATTTTAATTTGTGAAATAATTAACTGTTTGCCTCTGACCATACAGTTTGCTACTTTGTTCCCAAGCCTTTAAAACCAGCCCTGTCATTTTAAGTGTAATTATTTCATAATAGAACCAACAAATTCTTATAAACTTGAAATTAAGTTGGTTTTATGTTTAATAAAAAGAAAATACTCACCCTTTGCTTTTAACTAGAGCAGTTAACTGTTTTTAAAAACCACATACGCTCTCAAATACTCTAACATCTCAGATCCTGAGAACTAAGTTAGCTAGCAGCCATCCAAACAGTTTAACTATTTAGGTTTGTCTAATTGAAAAGTCACTTAACCAAATACAAAATATCACTTTCTCAGAACAAAGTAAATTTAGATACTGCACTTAAGCAAACCTGGATACAACAGTGAACAAAGGGGAAAAAAACTTAAGTGGTCAAAAAAGGAATGGTAGCCACAAATAAAAATATGACCTAGTATTTCAATATAGGGTTTCCATGGGCTAAGGCAGGGAACACATCTACTTATTTCTTTCAGAGTTGTCAAACAGAATTATACACACACTTTCTATAAAATTATTGAAAAGAAAGACTACCACAGATTTAGTATTTACAAATTAAGATGCGGCCCTATGTACATTTTTTAAATTACCTTCTCAAAATCCTCCTTGTTTTTAGGTGGCGGTAACATTGGAGCATTGGGGTTTTTTAACCTCTCTCTAGGCTGCGCATTAAAAGGCAGTCCTGATGGAGGTGGGGGAAGTGTATGTTCCATCATAGAAGGCGGAATGTATATTGGATGTGGAGGAATAGGCACAGCTTTACCCCAACCTAACTTCATTTCAAAAGACATAATCATCTTTCCTACAAAAAAAAGAAAAGAAAGGTCACCCTGGTTAACTCTCAAAAGAAAAAATTTCTGTTAATTTGAATTATTTTTCATGTTTAACCTTTCCAGTTCTGGTCCATTTTCCCCCTAGAGGTGTTTTGTTTGTTTTAAAGATTTTATTTATTCATTCATGAGAGACAGAAAGAGAGAGAGAGAGAGAGAGAGAGAGAGGCAGAGGGAGAAGTAGGCTCCATGCAGGGAGCCCGACATGGGACTCGATCCTGCATCTCCAGAATCACATCCTGGGCTGAAGGTGGCGCTAAACTGCTGAGCCACCAAGGCTGCCCCCACCGCCCGCCCTCCCCCCCCCCCCCCCGGAGTTTTTATAAATACTTTTCAGAGCCAGGAAAAAAAGTGAATTCTATAGTAGACAATAAAAACTTTCTTACCATTTAAATTTTTTAAAGCTCTTTCAGCATCTCTTCTATTCATAAAGGCCACAAAGCCACAATTTCTCTCTCTTGCTCTTTCTTCATCAGTTCTAGGCCACATAATTTTCACACTGGCTAAGGGTCCAAATCTTCCAAATTCTTGACAAAGCATTTCTTCATTCATCTATTAAAAAGCATATGAGGGTTTTTTTGGTATGCAAATAAAAGGGGGAAATTCTATCCAAAAGCAAGCAAATTTTTACAAAATGAACAGTGAGACATATCAATGCTACAATTTTCCACTGAAGCACCAGGACCTCTATACAGTAAAATCTTGCCCTCAGGTGACATTCACAAATCTTTTCATACCAGAAATACAAGTGTTCAGGGTGAGGAGGCTTGGTGGCTAAATAAATCAAAAGTACACCTCTATCTAGCTCTCCTCCTGTTCCTTTTGAGATCCTGCATATTTAAAATAAGCTGTTCTTCAGCACTGGTTTGTTTATGCATTTAGCAACGTTTATTAGGCAACAGTGATTATCACATTTAAGACAAGTAAAAAATATATGTTGGTAATGAAAGCAAAAAAAAAAGATCTGATCACTTTCTCTTTTTCCAATACCCAACATTATCAAGAAGAGAGAAAAGAGAAAATAGTAAATACACAATGAGGTCCAAAACATACATAATTTTTTAAAAGAGCATATTATGTATAACTGCCACTACATTCCTCATAATACAAGTAACGCTGAAGTGAGGAAAAGAATTAAGAAGAAGCACAAATTACTAGTTTGTTATCGTGAAAAGAAAAAGGAAAAAGGATATCATTAAGGAAGCAAGCTATGCATAAGAAGGTAGTCTCAAAAGAGCACTGTCCACCACAGATCATGATTTGATAAATAAAAAAAATCAGTACACAGTAAGACATTTCAAATTCAGATAGTCTAGTCAGAGAAAGACAAGATAAGCTCTTAAAAACTGTGGCAAGACAGTTCAGCCATATCAATAAGCCTCAATTTTATAAGATAATTTTAGAGACTTCTATAGTTTCTGAAGTTCCATCAAGTCTGCTTACTTCAGGTGCTTGATTTTATTTTTTGATTGACAAGGCAGTTTTCTTCCATAATTATAAAAAAATATGAGCCAACGTTCATCTAACTTTTCTAATATTACCTGTGGATTAATGTTTCCAAGATATAAATTAGTAGTGCTTGGATCTCCTACATCATGTGAGCCAGGTGCATAATCATCAAGAACTAGGACAAAGAGGGGAAAAAAAAATTATAACCTGCAAAATACAAAATTTGGACAATTTCTATTAATTAAAAAAGCAAAAAACTGTATTACCACCAGATGATCTATTTCTTCTGGAAGGCGCATCCACTTTAAAGGAAGGAAAAGAAAACAGTTCTTAGTTTTTTAGAATAGTTAATCACAAATATAAACATTAAAATAAATGCCACTTACTGGAACGACGCTGACCATCAGAATCTGACTGAGGAGGCTCAAATCGGCTTAACCTGCCTTTTGTCTTATGTCTCTCATCACGCTCTTCCTGAATTCTGTTGAAAACATTTGTTATCACTAATAATGAGCCAAAAGTTGTTCATTCACAGTTATTAAGAATATAAGTTATCCAGGTACCATGTTCATATAACTTGAAATATTTGTAAGTAATTAAATGCCAGCACTAACAACCGATATTAGAAAGAAAGTCCCTCAGCTATTAGTCATGAGCAAATTTCTGATATGTCATGCAAGCATTAGAATACAAACCCCACTTTTAAGGTGAGGAGCAAATTAAAAATTAAAACCACTGAATCTGTCCTTTCTTGGTTAAGTTTGCTCACTCCTCACCCCTACCTCAGTGACTACATTGTTTCCACTGCAAACAGGACTCCGGACATTAGATAAATCAATTGAATCGCATCCATATTTTGCTACCAATCTAGATGCTGGATGACATGCTAATACATTTTCAAATACACCCTAAAAAAGTCACTAATATCTAAAGCAACTTCACCATAGGTAAGGGAGTTAGTGATAGCTAACTGGTACACTATATTCTCCATACCTGCTTCTCTAAGTATCGGCTCAATATACCTATGATAACCATTCTCCATACTATAAAACTTACTGTTTCAATTCTTCTTTGAAGAGTTCCAAATTGCTTTTTTTCTTTTCTTTCTCCCCTTTCTTCAGTGGCTATGAAGGATATGACAAGTTATACTTCAAACAAAAATGGTTAAACAAAACTAATGGTTCAATAATCAGATCATTTTAAATAATTTTTATTTTAGTGCCAATTATGTTCAAATTAAAGTGAATGCTTCTGTTCTCACTGCATTTCCTTCCTGTTCTCTCAAACTAAGAATTTAACAATTTGATTATTAAAGCAATTAAAGAAAATGACATGCAGCAGTACTAAAGTAAAGCCGCCACAAACTTTATCTCCCAAAAGCCTGTGATACTTAGGCCTGAATATTGTTAGAGGGAATCAGGGGGCAAAACTAATGAACATAAAGGAATTGAACTGCCAAGTAACCGCTATGAGCAACTACCAAAAATACGCTCTTCAAAACAGTCACCTTAAGAGGACTATGAATTATTGAAATAATCAGTAACATCTTTGGAATTCCTCTTTAAAAACTACTTTTGAGGGGCACCTGGGTAGCTCAGTGGTGGAGCATCTGCCTTCAGCTCAGGTCCTGATCCCAGAGTCCTGGGATTGAGTCCCATATCAGGCTTCCCACAGGGAGCCTGCTTCTCTCTCTGCCTATATCTTTGCCTCTTTCTTTGTCTTTTGTGAATAAATAAAATCTTCTTTAAAAATCTAAAAATAAATAAATAAAACTGCTTTTGAAATCGCTCTCTTAAAAGTGCCAAAATAATTTAAGGGGGAAGAAACAGCCTATTTTCACAAATAGTGTGAGAACCATCGAATATCCACATGCAAGAAGAAACTGGGGTTGGAACTCTTCTTCTCACCACACACAAAGATTAACTCAAATGACTCAAATACCTAAATTTAAGCACTAAAACTATAAAACTCAAAGAGAAAAACACAGAAATCTTCAGGATTTTGAGGCAATAGTTTCTTAGATATGACATTAAAAGCACAAGTGACATAAAAAAAAACGATAAACTCACTTTCATCACAATTAAAAACTTTTGTGCTTCAGGGTGGCTGGGTGGCCACCCTGGGTGGCCCTGGGTGGGCCTGCCTTTGGCCCACAGCGTGATCCTGGAGTCCCAGGATTGAATCCTGCGTCAGGCTTCCTGCATGGAGCCTGCTTATCTCTCTGCCTGTGTCTCTGCCCACCACCCTCCCTCTGTGTCTATCATGAATAAATAAATAAAATCTTTAAAAAAAAAAAAAAAAACAACTTTTGTGCTTCAAATGACACTATCAATAAAGGACAAAGACAAATCACAGAATGGGAGAAAACGTGTACAAATCAAATAGCTGATAAAAGACTTGACTTCAGGAAGCATATAATACTTTTACAGCTTAATAATAAAAAGACAACAAATCGCCCAATTAAAAAATGGGTCAAGGATCTGAAAGACAGGGGATCCCTGGGTGGCGCAGCGGTTTAGCGCCTGCCTTTGGCCCAGGGCGCGATCCTGGAGACCCGGGATCGAATCCCACATCGGGCTCCCTGCATGGAGCCTGCTTCTCCCTCTGCCTGTGTCTCTGCCTCTCTCTATCTGTGTGACTGTCATAAATAAATAAAAATTTAAAAAAAAAAAAAAAAAAAAAAAAAAAAAAAAAGGATCTGAAAGACATTTCTCCACAGAAGACTACAAATGGATGATAAACATATAAAAAGATGCTCAACATCATTAGGGAAGTGCAAAACAAAGCCACAATTAGGTACAACTTCACACTCACTGAGATGACTAAAATTTTAAAAATAGAGAATTTTAACAAGTGTTGGTGAAGATGTATAAAAATTAGAACACTCATGATGCTGATGAGACTGTAAAATGGTATAGCTAATTTGAAAAAGTTTTAGCAGTTTCTTAAAAGGTTAATAAACAAATTAATTACCATATGACCTAGCAATTCCACTCCTAGGTATATATAAGAGAACTGAATACATAGGTCCACAAAAAAAAGCCTACGTACATTTATAGCAACATTACCCATAATGGCAAAAAAGTGGAGACAACCCAAATGTCAAGTGATACACAGATAAACAGTATGTGCTATATCCATAAAACAGAATATTATTCAACTATAAAAAAGAATGAAGTACTAATGTGCCAGAATACAGATGGACCTTGAAATATTATGCTAAGTAAAGAAGCCAGAAACAAAAAGCCACATGTTCTATGATTCCATCTGCATGAAATGTCTCAAACAGGCAAATTTCATACAGACAAAAAGTAGATTAGTGTCTGCCAGGGGCAAGGGATGACTAAAAATAGGTATAAGGTTTCTTTCTGGGGAAATAAAAATGTACTGAAATTAGAGATTAGTGATTGTTGCACAACTGTGAATACACTTTAAAAAATAACTGTATACTTTAAATGGTAATGTGAATTACAGCTCAAAAAAACTGTTTTTCTTTTCCATTGCTTTCAGAGCTATTTTCCAAGTCACACAAGAGAAGTGAATCTCATCATTAAATGTAATCATATTCCTTCACCAGTGAGGCTCCAAATGACATGACCCACATCTATCTTCTGACCCCCCATGAAAAATCCCACCATCAAAAAATAAAAAATCTCGGGATCCCTGGGTGGCGCAGCGGTTTGGCGCCTGCCTTTGGCCCAGGGCGCGATCCTGGCGACCCGGGATCGAATCCCACGTTGGGCTCCCGATGCATGGAGCCTGCTTCTCCCTCTGCCTGTGTCTCTGCCTCTCTCTCTCTTGCTGTGACTATCATAAATAATAAAATAAAATTTAAAAAAAGAAAAAATAATAAAAATAAAAAAATAAAAATAAAAAATCTTCTAACACTGAGAATATTTAAAAGAAAGTGCCACTAGCTCATAGTAATTCCAAATAAATTTCAAAAATGTGCCTAGGCTGATACATTATTGGAATACGTCTAAGTCTTCCAAGGTAACTGCCACTACACGTTCAGTTCAGAATTACTTAAAAAGGACAATCCCATTATTTTATATTTATACCTATAGTCAACATTTTACTTGTTTACTTGTTGTTGTTTACTTGTTGTTTACTTGTTATACTAAGAGTATAACACCAAAGGTTCACTGCTCAAAGAACATAATTAGAATATTGCCTACATTCCCTACTCTAATTTATGAACTCTTCTCTAGGAAGATTAAACACCAAAACTCAACATCTACTCCCAAAATAATTAAAAACAAGAAACCAAAGTCCTGCTTACAGTGGAAGTACTGAAATATCATTGGCAGTATGATCTCTGAACATAAATAGTCACTTATTTAATTATGACTTACAGGTTTTTTGGTTTCTATCACAAGAAGAGATGGTGGTCTTTCATTGGATGACTGATTTGGAGGATTTTTTTGATCTGCAAATCTTGAAGATGGTTTATAAATTTTACCTCTTTTTTCATCTGTTTCGTGTTCTTCTGAAATTTAAAACACTAAGTTTCAAAACTAATTTTCAAAAATAATTTATTATTTGGAGTTCATTTTTTATTTGAAAATGAACAGAAATTAGTAAAATGCTTTTAGCACTAAGATATAATATGAAATTAAAAAAAAAATTCACCGTACCAACCACCTTGCTCTCAAAAATACTAATTTAATCATTTTATAGTAAAACTATGAAATATATTAAAATTTTTGCAAAGTGCTCTGCTATATTCAACACTGAAAGGTACTAAATATTTTTAAAACTTATCTGGCTCCAATTTCTCACTAATCCACATCTGGCCATTTATTCTGCTAATTAATGAGTAATATCAACACTAGAGGGTGCTGATAAAAAAGAAATGTGAAATTCAAAAGACACCAAACATCTTTCATAATTGCCTACAGTCATTCTACCAAGAATTTTTGTTTTGTTCAAGGATTATAATATTGACACTAACCTTTAGCTGCATTAACCACACCTCCACGCACAAATGTCTTCACTTTATTACCATCACTTCCTTCAAAAGCAGCAAGAAATTCCTCATAAATCTCAGCAGCTGCCTTTTCATCTTCCTAAATACACATGAAGATATTAATATCACTTAAGATGAAAATTACTATTGTACACGGGGTGAAACTCATTAGGGAATAATGTAATTAAAACCTTTCCCTTCACTAGGAAAACCTAATAGGTAATAATATCTAATGTTTAGTAGATATTAGATACAAATTAACATTGAAACTAAGGGAGACTTTGATCTTCTACTGGCAATTTATGAAACCAGTAAAGGACCCAGTAAGTAAATTTGTTTAGAGATATCAAAAGTCAAACTGTATGACAACTAACCATATAAAACATATAACTCCATGTTTTTGACATTTCCAAAGCATGACAATTTAGTTATTATAAAGATTTCCCTCAGAAACCATGAAAGACGTATTAGAAGTTGAAGCAGCAATAACCCCACAGTTGGCATTAGGAAAAAAGCTCAAAAAGAACCTGGACAATTTCAATTCTAATTCTTCACAATGTACCCAAAACATGTATGCATAAAAGGCCAATAGAACAGAACAGAAAATAGAGAAGTCAGTCCAAGAACACTAGGAAATTTAGTATTCAATAAAAGGAACATCTCAAATCAACGGAGAATAGATCAACTTTTCAATGATGTTGGGATAACTTGATAACTATTTAAAAAAATAAAAATAAAAATGAACCAGTTCTCCACATCATATACCAAGGAAAAACTGCAAATGAACCAGATTTAACTTTTTTTTAAGTGAAACTATTAAAGTATTACAAAAAACATGAGGAAATTTCTTTACAAGCTCCAAGAAAGAAAAACACTGAAAACTAGAAATCTTAAGGAAAGATATATAACAATAAACAATTTCTGCATGGAAAAAAACACAAGAAGCAAAATAAAAAGACAATCGACAGACTGGGAAAAAAACACTGCACCTTGTGTCATAGACCAAGTGTTAATATATTTAATATACAAAGTTTCTAAAAACAGAGATAACCCAATAATTTCTAGAAAGACTGGGTTAGATATGCAGACAGCTAGCTCACAGAAACACAAAAGCTGTTCAACCTTACTTACAAGAGAAATGTAAATTTAAAACTACATTGAGATACTATTTTTTACTGAGCCAACTGGCAAAACTTTAAAAACATCCTCTGTTGGTAAGGCTATAGGGAAACAACCTCTCATACATTACTGAGAGTAGATGGAAAATGGCCCTGGCTTTATAGAGAGCAGTTTGTCAATATTCAACAGAGCTACATTTATGCATTTACCATTCAACCCAGTAATCTCACTTACAGGTATATATCCCAAAGATAAACTAACAAAGAAACTATATGCATAACACTATCCATTAATAGCATTATTTGTAATGGCAAAAGACCAAAACAAAAATGCCCAACAGAGTATTAGTAAATAAGTACTGTATGTCTCTACACAGCTATTTAAAAAGACAAAGGAACATTTCAATTACACCTGCAGTAATCTCTGAGATACAATGTTAAGTGAAAAAAGCAAGATGGAGAAAAGTACACTGTATATAGCATATTACTGATCATCTGAGAAAAAGGAATACAATATATTTTTACACACACTTGCTTATCAAAAAGAATAGACCAGAAAATAACCAAGTCTTACACAGAAGAAGCCGTGGAGGGGACAGGGATACAAACAGGACTCTTCTAAACGTACCTTGTGTTACAGAGTTGACTTGGTGGTGGGAGCTGAGAATACCCCAGTCAAGAATCTTTGAAAAGTATTTCTCTACACCCCCTGCCTTACTTTGACACCATTTCCAAGGATAACTCAAAATATATACATTACCTTTTTCTTTAACTCTTCTTGTTCCTTCTTACTTAAGGTTCGCTTAGCTGTACTCATTTTTCCAATACTGAATGCTTTAAGTTTGTTTTCAAGAAGAGGCTATAAAAAGAAGTAAAAAGCATACCTTTACACACACATTCTTTCTTTTTTTTAAATTTATTTATTTATGATAGTCACAGGAGAGAGAGAGAGAGAGGCAGAGACATAGGCAGAGGGAGAAGCAGGCTCTATGCACCGGGAGCCTGATATGGGATTCGATCCCGGGTCTCCAGGATCGCGCCCTGAGCCAAAGGCAGGCGCCAAACCGCTGCGCCACCCAGGGATCCCCTACACACACATTCTTAATGCTATCTATAACTCAACTGGTAACCAACTCTTCAGATTAGAGGACTTTTAAAAAGAAATTTCACAGTAAAGCAGAAAAGCTGAGGCTATTCTTAAGCATTCTTAAGCTATTCTGAAGTGCCTACCTTGGGCTTGATTCTCATGTAAGTATTTCTTAAAGAATGTCTTCATTTGCTAGCTAAAGATTAATACATACAAAAGCCATTTTCTTTAAAAAAGGTAAAAAAAAAAGGGGGGGGGGAGGGGGCGGGGAATCCCTGGGTGGCTCAGCGGTTTAGCGCCTGCCTTTGGCCCAGGGCGCGATCCTGGAGTCCTGGGATCGAGTCCCACGTCGGGCTCCTGGCATGGAGCCTGCTTCTCCCTCCCCCTGTGTCTCTGCCTCTCTCTTTCTCTATCATAAATAAATAAATAAATTTTTTAAAAAGAGAGAGAGAGATGCTAAAGGCTTAGAACTCATTCAACCTACTTGCCCACAGCAAGAATAAAAGCACTTGAGAAAAAGTACAGATGGTTCCAGGCAAAAAAAGCAGTGATGGAAAACAGACATTGAAATAGGGAAGAGGCAGCATATATTTCCAAAGTTCAGTAGCAGGAATCTAAATACCATCTATAACCTTCACTTCAGGTCCTCCAAATCACATCACTTCCTTTTATAATTCAGCAGATTAACTCATTTTTCACCAGTAATACTGATGTTTATGAACATTATAACTGTATTTCAGGTTTCAGCAGAAGTAAAATCATCTATAGATCTTTAATTGTTCAGTTATTCATTTAAATGTTAGATTTTGATTCATAACCTTAAAGAAAGTAATGTCTGTTAAATACAACCTAAAAATGTTAATCTGTAATTGAGGTCGGCAAGTTTCACTCTTGCCCACCAAAATTTAACTAATTAAAATTTAGACTTTATCAATCCCCTGGTTATTAAACAGGCTTGCCCTTCAGAGAAACAGAAGAGTAATATTGCTATCAATTGTTTTAAAGTTACATTAAAATCACTTTGAAAAAATAAAAATTTATAACCCAAAAGTTGAAATGAGGTTTCAGGAACAGATTCAAAGTACATTTTTTCCGAAAGTAGAAAGAAAAATGTTTGGCCATCATTCAGCCTCTGTGGTTTTAACTTTAAAACTTTAAAGAGGGCAGCTCAGGTGACTCAGCGGTTTACCGCCACCTTCAGCCCAGGGCATGATCCTGGAGACCCAGGAGCGAGTCCCACATCAGGCTCCCTGCATGGAGACTGCTTCTCCCTCTGCCTGTGTCTCTGCCTCTCTCTGCCCCCTCTCTCTCTCTCTCTCTTTCTCTCTCTCTCTGTGTCTCTCATGAATAAAATAAAATCTTTAAAGAAATGGCAAAATTACATATAAATTCAATGAAAAACATAATTTTACAAAACAAAATTGGAGGAGTTCAAATTCTACTTATATCCTAAGAGCTAAACTTAAACAACCAAGAGAAAAATGATTATGGAAATTATGGAATGTTTACACCAAGAAATATAACCATACATCAGGAAGTTTCACAGAAGTTTTGCTAAAATTAAAAAAAAAAATTAGAACTGAAAATAGAATATTTTAAAATATATTCCCATAAAATAGATCTTAGCAAAGTAAAAATGTAATTTTATGCTAAGAAATATTAAACAATAAAAATTAAGTGTTATCAATGTTAATACTGGCTGGTGAGGACTACTTCCATTTTATTTCCAAATTTAATTTCTGGGACACCTGGGTGGCTCAGTGGTTGAGCGGCTGCCTTTGGCTCAGGGAGTGATCCCGATCCTGGGATCAGGATCGAGTCCCACATCAGACTCCCTGCGAAAAGCCTGCCTCTCCCTCTATGTCTCTGCCTCTCCCTCTGGGTCTCTCATGAATAAATAAATAAAATCTTTAAACAAAAAAATTTTAATTTTTATTCATTCCCCAAATTTAATCACATGAAAAATTATATGAAACAAAAAAGACTAAAAGAGCATGAGAACGCTTTGCAGATACACGTAGTAAAGAAGCTCTTTCTTTAGGATCTCATACTGCCGTGGGCACTACACTAACCAGAGTAAATAGTACCTGCTCCTATTTACTTCCCATGGTGAGACTATAAGCTCTTTAAAAGCAAAAACTACATTTTAATCATCTATTTATTTCCAGTGACTGGCATTTGGTACTTGGTTCAATGTATGGTATAAGGGAGGAATAATGAACGTAACAATTAACCATTTTATATCCAAAAACACTTCTTGGTTTCTTAAATAACTTTTTAAATTTTAAATGAAATCTCACATATAAGCTAAAAAAATTTTTTTCCTTCCATGACCTTATCATTAACTCAAATACAACAAAGAATGTTTTCAAATAGTACATGATAAAAGAACCAGTACAAAACCAAAATATTCAACCATTAAATTTGATCAAGGACAAATTAAACTCATTAATCCTTTCTTATCTTTATCAACACTTACTCTTGAAAGATTTTGATGAGGAGAATCACAAAGGCTTTCACGGGCACTCTCATTCCTATAATTATGCTTTCTTGGGCTCTTAGGTCGTGTCCGACTTGGCATGTCACTATCTGAGGGTCCAGATGCATCCATCTTCAGGAAAAGTAAAACAAGTTTTTCAAATCACATATGTAGACAACTACAAACCACCCAAATGTACAAATAGTGACAAATTTCACTATAGACTATCAAAACTCTCATCCCTTAAAATCACTGATTTCATCAGAAAAGTCCTTCAATACAGGGAAAGTTTTCTGTAATTCTAACTTGTACCTGAAAGCTCAAATTTGATATAACAATTTTCTTTGAAGTAACAGGTCTGTTTCCTTCATTTTCAAGAGGAAACACCCACGTCTGATTAACCACAGTTTAGTTGTTCCGTCAAGTAAAAATGATGTTCCATTAAAAAAGGAGCCAGTTTTCAATTTTCAACTTAAGTAATCCAACAAGTACCTTTCCTCAAGGCAAACATCATGAGAAGAGGTAGTGCCTTATACTTTCCACTTAATCACATAAAACATAAAAAAGACCCACACACAAGGAAAAAATTTAGTATTAATAATTTTTACTGCTTCATCAAGAACATTCTTAAGTGAAACTAGCATACTTTTATTGTGCCACATTGGGAAGAATACAAGGACTGCTACTACATTTTGACAACACTGGCTTAATTCATGTTAGATGCCAACAGTTTACCCATCAATTACTTTTGCATTTTGTCATTAATGCAAATGTCAACATGATAAAAAAAAAAGGCAAATATTTTTGTATTATTATAAAACAGTTGAACTCACAAAGCCCATGAAAAGATTCTCAGTAACCGCGAAGGGTCTCAAAACCATACTTTGCGCACTGTTGTAATAACATGTAAAGGAAATGTCTACTGAAGAATTATTCAAATTGTCAAAGAGCTTTAAACAACAAACATATGCCCATCAATAGAGAAACAGCTTAAAAAATCATTTGTACCTCCCCCTATGGAATATCATGATGCCAGCAGAAAGACTACAGTAGAGCTTTAACTGTTGACTTACAGGGACTTCCAACAGGTACACCGTGCAGTGAAAAAAGAACGAGTGTGGAAAATGCAAACCACAGCCAATGTACAAGTATACACAGTTGTAAATGTGCAGAACTTTATAAGCACAATAAAAATATAAAGATACATACATACTTGGTTTCTAACATGGTCTGAGGGGGCCAACTTATGCAAAAAGAACACGTAAAAAAAGAGAGCACCTAGCTAAAAAACATGACAGAAAATAGACACATACAATATAATAATATTTATCAAGTAAAATCATAAATATAGGAATAGACAGAGAAATTAAATATTAAAGAAAAAAAGACGAGGGCTACCTGGCTGTCTCAGTCCATGAAGCATGAATGAACCTCTTGATCTGAGGGACATGAGTTTGAGAACCACACTGGGTGTAGAGATTACTTAAATAAATGCTAGAAAGAAAAGAAAAAAAAGAAAAGAAAAGAAAAGAAAAGAAAGAAAAAAGACAAAGATTGCCTTTTATACTCACATGTGCATCTGAAGATCCAGATGAATGAACATCTGATGATCTGGTCTGCAATTATTAAGAAGTCAGTATTTAAATGATCTGAAAATGTATTATGTTAACAAAGCAAGTATGTCTCAAGTTATACAGACTTAATCTTCCCAAACTTGTAGCAATTTCTGCTCACCTAATAAAACCAAACAAAGGAAATCTAAGACTTACAAAAAGGTTGAGATCCATAATACATGTGCAAGTCAATTCTGTAAAATTCAGAATGCATATTGCCAAAATACGGTAAAAATGAGAGCAGAATATATTTCAGGCATAAAACTTTTAAACCGTAGACTGGAAACCTAACCATTACTTTTACAACAGAATTTTTGTGCAAAAGCTCTTCCCGAGTCATAAGATACACTGTTTACTGCCACAACACTGACAGAGAGCAGCAACTTCTTGCTATGCAGCAAAGAAACTTCCCCTCCTTCCTCCACCTACCCAATCATATAAAAGATGATTTTAGTAACAAGAAAATTCACATATAAACCCTTAATGTAAAAGGTATAAATGTCACTGCAGAAATAGTTCAATAAAAAGAAAACCCTAGGGGTGCCTGGGTGGTTCAGTCAGTTGAGCATCTGCCTTCAGCTCAGATCATAATCCCAGGGTCCTAGGATCCAGCTCTGCATCAGGTGCTCTGCCACTCTGCCTACTTGTGCTCTGTCAAGTTAATTAATTAAATATTAAAAAAAAAAAAAAGAAAGAAAGAAAACCCTGTTATCAAATCCACAGCTGGCCACAATTTACAACTTGTTTTAGGGGGCTGCTTCTAATTCAGCATGCCACTACTGCTGACTGTTGCACTGAAAGAGATTAGTCTTCAAATAATGGCACATTGCAGCAATGTCAACTGTTAAAATTGCATCTTATTTTTTCTTAATTGATCTACAGATCAAATTACATATGACATCCAGTTTTTTTTTCACTATACAAAGAAGCCAAGTTGTAAGACCATTAACTAAATAACATGTGGTATCTGTCTGACATTTTTACTTGGAATCCCAGAATTTAACTCAGTCACAGTTTTTATTTTGCAAGGTACTGGGTAGTGAGATTTTACTTATTTTTATGTATAGCCAAATGTTAAAAGTGAAACCAAGAATCTTGACACCACAAATATCAGACCCTAGTACCGAGTTTTAGATTTCAAAAAAATGCACAAGGCATTATATTAATTTTTAAGAGAAAATTGAAGATTTGTATGACATATGAAAGTGCAAATACAGTAAAACCCATGTAAGTCTACATGGTATTGCTTTACTTACCTTCTCTAAACTTAAGGTAATAACATCTGGTCAGATTTTCACAACTGAATCGATTTGTTCCTCTGAACTCTACTGTGCTGGGCCCTAAGCAAAATAAGCCCAAGACAACCAAGCACTGAGATATCTTCCATCACTGTCTTTTCTATCCATTTATCTCCGACTTTAATTGTGTCCTTCCTTACTTTCTTCTCCCATCTAATGTTTCTTAAAAGGCAAGACGGTATAGAAGAAATTTTTAATAAATTTAATTCTCTGAAACACACTTTGAAATGCAGTTTGCAATGTGTCCATTTGCAAAATCCAAGAGTAACTATTCTCAGAAAAGAAAAAAAAAAATCAGTCAAGATGCTAACAGATGAGAAAAAAATCAACTGCTTGCCAATATACTAGTATCAACCTGCTAGGCAACAAAAATAATATCCTAATTACAAGAGTCCCCAAAAGTGTAAAACACCTAGAAACCAGCAAAAGAAATGTATACAACCTGAGTGAAGAAAAGACCAACTATATAGAAGGATTCAGTTATTCAAGTCACCTTGAAAAGATTCATCATATTCCTGGATGGGAAAACCCATTATTAAGACAATGTCAATTATACCCAAACTTATTTACACACTTAATGCAATTTCATTCAACAACTTGATACCGAAAGGAAAATCTTTGCAAGGGGCATAAGGGTTGCCAAAAATAATTCTAAAGTTCTCCCAGAAGAATAAGCATGCAAGAGCAGCTAAGTAGTGCTAGCCTTTCTTTCTTTAATCTTCTATGCTACCACATCCAAAGCACCATTTCTAAGATTTAAAAATAACAACATGGCTTAGGAAGAGGCATCAGCTGATTTCAATTAACCTAAGATGGCATGGTCACATTTACCGCAAACCAGACATTTCCACTCATATGCAGCTATAACTGCACAGCATTCAGAATGGAACTTCTTTAGGTTTAAGAGTTAGATGCAAATAGTTAATAAAATTTTCAAAATAATCAACTTTTAAAGCTAGCGGTCCAAATAAACAGTAAATGTAGTGCTACTTCAGAAGCTGAGTCTCTCCCTCTCCCGAACCTAGAACTGACTATATTATTTACCTTGGTTTGGTTTATATATGTTTTAATTGAAGAACAACATATTAATGATGCTTACAGATCTTCTGAAGTCTAGCGCACAATTTTTCATCCACATAAAAAGACCCAAAAGCAAGAAATGAATGAGCAGAATAAGGAAAACTGAAAGCAATAAGGCAGCAGACATATGAGAAAGCTACCTCAGGACAGAGAAAGCAGATAATGCAGATGTGGTGAAGCATGGCAAAAGAATCCAAAAGAAAAATGGATCATTCTCGTGATTGCTAAGGAAAGGTAAAGCCAACTACACTATTAACGGCCCTGTATGTTGGTGGCTGATAGTAAAATTTTTTTTCTAATTAGCAACCTAGCCATAAGTACATTCCTCCAAAACCGCCATTCTCCATCATCAGCTTTCCATTCCCATTACTGACTCCTAAAATGTCTTTTTTTCCTCTTATACTCTAAAGCATCACTTATATCTCCACAAGTTTAACACTTTCCTATAGGAAGCATATCAAATCTTTATTGTACTGAGATGACGTCTAATTCTTTATTTTCAACCTTAGTCCCTCTCCTGGGTTCCAATCTGTTGTCAAACTACCTCCTGGACATCTAACTCCTGGACATCTTCACCCAAATGTCTCCTAGCTCCTCAAACTCAATATATTTAAAATTCCTTCCAAACTAGCTTCTCCTATTGATCTTATTTCTGATACTGGATTATATCTCTCAGTCACTCATAATATGGAAGGGGTAAAATGTTTTTAAGAGGACAGATTCTGGAATTAGACTTCCTGGTTTTTAGCACTTACCAGTTTTGTAACCTTGGTTCCATTTATAAAGCTGAATAGCACCCTGCCTCATAGGATTGTTGTGAAGGACAAAAACTAAAGCACTTAAAACAGTGTCTAGCACACAGTAACTACTCAGTGTTAGCCAGCAACAATTATAACAGAGGATCATCCTGGACTCCCTTTATCCCCTCACAATCACGTGAGTCAAATTCTGTTCATCAGGCCCCTAATACAGCTCTTCTAAAGGCACAATTGTGGTCCAGATCTTCCCTTAATTCAACCACTTACTGGTACTATGCCTTATATTAGTAAAATAAGACATACCCCCTGCCTTTAGAAGCTAATAAAAGAAAGAGTCGTTAAGAACCGGGGAACCTAGGTGAAGGATATACAAGGTATTCATTATACTCTGCTTTCATGTGATTTTTCTGTGGAACTGAATTTTTTCCAAATAAAAAGCTGGGTAAGATACAGTAGGCAGGAAGTAGGGAGGAAGGAGAAAGAAAAAAGAGAAAGAAAGAAGGAGAGAGAGGAGAAAGGGAGAGGAAGGAAAGATGGGAGGAAGGGAGGAAGGGAGGGAAGGAGGTACAGCAGGAAACATCTAATGATGAAAGACCCTTAATCCTCATTGCTAACACCAGATTTCCCTGATATAAAAGCTTAAATATAATGTTCCCATAATCACAAATGGACACAAAACAAGATACTAAGAGATAAAAGAAAATTCATCAGTGCTTTTTATAAAATTTGGGATTAATCTTAATAATTATAAATTCAATTTTAATATATTTATATAATGAAACAATAAGTAGCCATCAAAACATTATTTCAAAAAGTACTGGAGGACACAAGAAAACACTCACAATGTAATATTGAGTCAAAAAAGCAATAAATAAAATCCTGTGATCTTCATTTTCATTTTTTATTATAGCATTATTAACATACAATACAATGCACAGATCTTGGCGTTCAGTTTCAGGAGTTTTGGAAGTTGTGTACACTAGTGTAACTACCATCCAAAACAAGAAATAGAACATTTTCATTACCCCCAGAAAGTCCCCTCCTGCCTCTTTCCAATTGATTCTCTTCTTCCATTCTCTCTAGGCAACCATTTTCTTACTTCTCTCTCTATACATTAGTTTTGCTGGTTCTCGGACTTTGTATGAATGGAACTATACATTATTTACTCTTTTGAGTCTGGCTTCTATTGCTCAATCATTAAATCACTATGCTTCAAGTTTCATTCTTGTTGAGTTTTACGAGTTCACTATTTTGTACTGCTCAGTAATTTTCACTGCACACCATTTTCTAAGTATTCCATTGTTTGTTTTTCTTTCTCCCTGTCAATAAACATTAGACTGTTTCTAGCTATAACTGTTTATAAATAAAGTCAATATAAGTATTTTTTAAACAAGTAAAGTAAAACAATGGCCACTAAGAGCAGAGGTAGCAGGCAAAACTTAATGGGGGTAGGGAAGATGTTAGGAAAAGCTTCTCAGAGAAGATCTGAGGTGAGATTTCTGAAACAATCCTCAATATTTATCAGGAGCACTGCAACAAACTTCAAACTGATCCTCCTCACTCCCAAATCCTTTTAAAGTATGTTCCAAGAATTCTTTCCTAAAGGACTTTGCTGGGCAGCCCAGGTGGCTCAGCGGTTTAGCGCCACCTTCAGTCCAGGGCCTGATTCTGCAGATCCAGGATCGAGTCCCACATCAGGCTCCCTGCATGGAGCCTGCTTCTCCCTCTGCCTGTGTCTCTGCCTCTCTCATGAATAAATAAATAAAATCATTTAAAAAAAAAAAAAAAAAGGACTTTGCTGCCTCAAATTTTCCATGGCTCTCTAATTTTACTCTGTAGCATTCAAAATCTCCACAATTTATCCCAA